GTACTAGAAGAACTGAAGAAGAAGAGGAAAGTTATAGCGAATTCTATTAGAAGAGTTAGTGTGCACTGCCTGGTACACGGAGTGTATTCATGACTTTTTCTACCAGCTTTTATAAGAGAAAGATAAAAATATTTTTTTTTTTTTTGCACTGATTCTACTAATAGAATTAACTATTAGTACCGTGTGTTCCATTTATCTTGATAACGTTTTAATTTGCTGTAACTTTTTTGTTTTTGAAGATATCAAGGTAAACAAAAAAACAAAATGTAGGGTGGTTAGAAGCCAAGTTTTTTTTTTCAAATTACATAAAAAACAAAACACTATCAATTTTCTGACATATGAGTCTACATTATATTTTTTTAAAAGGAACACCTTGTATATTATACAGGGTGAGTTACTAAGAGCGCGGTGGTCCATATCTCCTATACTATCAGAGATCGAAGAAAAAAGTAAATACAAAACTTGTAGATAAACATGAGTACTACATTCCTAAATTATTTTCCAGCATACAGAGTGGCCCAATAAGTAGTAGTGACACAAGGTTATGTTTTTTTAAATGACTAGTCCTGTACATATATTATGACATTTTTGGATTCTGCGAAAAATTCTAGACATATTTCATGTACAATGTCATATACCTATCTTCATCTGTTTCAGAAATATTAACAGTTTAAAATTGACTTTTTCACATCTTTGACAGACTGTAAAACCTAAACGGTTGATTTTACAGCAAAACTGATTTTACATTCCTATCTTAGTTTTTCATGAACTATCATTTGACACCAATCTTGAATTTAAGCCATGATTAAAAATTCCGCTTCAATTTATAATCTCCGGTTAAATTCAAAGTTGGTGTCAAAAATTAACCGTTCAGGTTTTACAGTCTGTCAAAGATGCAAAAAAGTCAATTTTAAACTGTCAATATTTCCGAAACAGTCAAAGATAGGTATATGACATTGTACATGAAATATGTCTAGAATTTTCCACAGAATCCACAAATGTCATAATATACAGGGCTAATAATTTAAAAAAAACTGAGAAAAAAATATAACCTTGTGTCACCACTACTTATTGGGCCACCCTGTATACTGTACTGTATTTACTTTCTTCGATCTCTGTTAGTATAGGAGATATGGATCACCGCGCTCTTAGTAACACCCTGTATATGTGTTTAATAGAATATTTTATTCCGATCACAATGATATAACACACTTCATATTTTAGTCCACTCGTTTTTGACAAATCGGCAAAAAATAAAAATATATGAAACTTTTGAAGTGGAATTTATTAGGTGGCAGTCTGATATTTGGGGCGAGAACTCTGGCGAGAATTATTGAGAGTGTATATAGAAACTTCATATTTTTGCCGATTTGTCAAAAACGAGTGGACTAAAATATGTAGTGTGTTATATGATTGTAATCGGAATAAGATATTGTATCAAACACATATACAAATTTACAGGGTGTTCCATTAAAAAAAATATAATGTAAGCTGTAAGCTCATATGTCAGAAAATTGATAGTGTTTTGTTTTATCTGTAAGTTGGAAGAAAACTTGGCTACTAACCAGAGCTGGGATCGTTACTTGAAAAAAGTAACGCGTTACTTCACAGTTACTTTTGCTTGAAAATAACTCGTTACTTAAAATTTACAGTTACTTACGAATAATGATAACTTTATTTTCGTTACTTATTGGAAAGTAACGCATTACTGTAACTTCTTTACTTTGAAAGTAACTTCTTTACTTTAGAAGTAATTCGTTACTTAAAAGTAACTCGTTATTTGAAAGTTACCCGTTACCTTAAATAAAGCGTTACTTTTAAAGTAACGCGTTACTTCAAAAATAACTATTTACGTCGAAAATTGCGTTATTCCTTAATTTGACTCACCAACACAGCAGTCTAAACAATCAAATAAGACTTATACGAAATGCCAATATGTTTTTAGTTTGTGAGTCCGACTATGTGGAAGAGGTTTGTTGCAAAATTCAAACGGATTAAGGAATGAGCGACTAAATAGAGAACTTAGTTTTGGAAAAACCTGCTTTTTGAAGAGTCCCAGTGGCTGCATATTGTGTCTTTAGAGCAGAGGCGGCGCGTGCTACGCCTAAAAACGATTATTTTGAGTTTTCAAAACAAATTTTCTGTACTACCTACGTTTTATTTGACATACAAAGTTTTTGGATTACTTATTTTCCTTTTCCTCAATCATCAATTATTTGTAAAGAAGATAAACAAATTGAGAGAACGCGTTACTTTCATAGTAACTAGTAACGCGTTACTCCCATATAAACGCGTTATTTTTATAGTAACGCGCTACTTTCATAGTAACTCGTTACTTTAACAAAATAACGATCTGCAGTTACTTCAGGAAAGTAACGTCGTTACAGTTACTTATCAATCAATCTGAAAAGTAACGAAGTTACCAAGTAACGCGTTACTATCAGTATCTCGTTAAAGTAAAGTAACTATTTTTAGTCGTTACTCCCAGCTCTGCCACTAACCCTACATTTTATTTTTTATTTGTTCACCTTGAAATTGAGCTTGAAATCTCCAAAAACAAAAAAGTTACAGTGAATTGAAATGTTATCGAGATAAATTCAACGCACAATACGTCGCAACCTTTTTGTGTCCTTTTAGTATGCTGTAAAAAAAACAAGATGTAAAATTTTTGACATGACTCTTCCTAGATAAATAACTACCTAATTAATGTTTGTCATTATCATTGTCATTTCAAACCATGAATTCACTTTAATAAATCTTGACATTTTTTCAGGTTTTTATTTTCTTTTATTTTATTTTTTTATTATATAAAGAAAAATGAGCTCTAACCAATCAATGCAAAAAAAGATGGCGTTCCCATTTAAAAAAAAAGATCAATGACGTCATATCTTAGAGAGGATTTTTTTTTCCTATATCTCTGTGTAACTTTTCCCTACACGTCTTCTTATACCTATTTCCAAAATTTCATCAAATTCCATCGAGCCGTTTTCTCAGAAAAATGCTAACACACACATACATACACACACACAGACGGAAATGTGCCACCTTGCCAAAAAGGCTTAAAATGATTCAAAACGTCATGATTTAATAAAATTTTGACATGGTCAAAATCGGGCTATCACCATAGCTTCCTATCTAGGAAGCTAATAAAGAATAGGTATATTCGGTGAACTCTTGCATCCAGTACAATGCACCTAAATATTTGTCTCCAGGTTGCCAAATCTTACTTAAAATCTGTCAGCTGTATGCAACATCCTATTTTAACTTGAAAGCGCTTTTTGAAACTGGTCACTTTTAAAAATGTGTATTCCAAGCCATACACATTTTTAAATGTACCAGTTTCAAAAAGCGCTTTTACGTTAAAAGAGAATGTTGCATACAGCTGTGTATCTTTAGAAGCCATTAGGAATACAGATGAATATGTTAATTTTCACCAGCAATAAAAAAATCATGAACAAAGAAGATAAAAATATACATATACAGAGTGTATATACCGAGGTTTATAAATATACAGGGTGTTGCGTAACTTCCCCCAATTTAAACCACCCTGTGGGTATCTTTTATAATTACCGAGATCTCCATACTTATTCGCGAATTTGTAATACCCTGTATACGTACGTACAGGGTGAGTCACTATATTTTGACACCTACCTGCAGCCGTAATTACAGGTGATAGGTAAAAGGTGTAAATACAAAAGTTGTAGCATTTTATCTGAACCATCAGAATTTTCAATTAGATTCAAAAAATGAGCAACACAAAATAAAGAAATATGTCAATGTTCACTTTTTTCAAATGGAATGCACTTTATTTTCTTTCAAATTTTTAAAGTTCTCGTTTTTCTGATTCAGATTATATGATATCTTAATGTTTCCTTCAATAGTTTTGGAAATATCTGGAGTTTAGTCATTCAAAAACCTATTCACTAATCAGAATGATTTGTGAACAGGTGACAGGTAAATTAAGGTAAAATATATTCAAAAAACTACTGTCTTTGAATAACTGAACTCCAGATATTTCCAAAACTATTGAAAGAAACATTTACTTATCATATAATCTGAATCAGAAAAATGAGAACTTTTAGAATTTAGAAGAAAATAAAGGGCATTCCATTTGAAAAAAGTGAATATCGACATATTTTTTAACTTTGTGTTGCTCATTTGTTCAATTTAATTAAAAATTCTGGTGGTTCAGATAAAATGCTACAACTTTTGTATTTACACCTTTTACCTATCACCTGTAATTACGGCTGCAGGTGGGTGTCAAAATATGGTGACTCACCCTGTACATATTTGTTAGATTATTACATTAAATGCCAAAGTATTGAATATATATACTTTCAATTTGTACTAAGTACAAGAAAAAAATGTGGCATCCATGCTAACAGTCCAGTTAAATGGAAACTTTCGCATTTTAAATGTAGTTAGTAAGAAAGCGCAATGCGCAATAATATCGGATTTAGCCAATGCAAGTGATCTATTTTGATGCCTATTGTGTGAAGAAAAGGTTGAATTTAGAAACTACTTACCTGAAAGAGAAGAGACAGGTACTAGGAATGGGAAGTTACTGTATCATATTATTAATTCTACTTCTACAATTTTTCCGACAGTATTTTATAAAACTTCAATTGTATTTTCGAATGGTCATTTGTATCTAGGAAACTTGAATAATTTTTTCTTGAAATCACTATCCAAGTCTTCTGACAGACCCTAAGAATCTAATCCTCTCTAATACTCTCAAAAAATCATTTTGGTTTATAAAAATTAAACCACCTAAGGGTCAGTAACTGTATTATCAATTTCAAACAACTCATAGAAATCAGATTTAAGATGATTCATTCATTCATAAAGAGATTCAGGTGTTCAGATTTCAACCTGGGAATGGTTGATTGTGAATGAATTAAAGTGAAACCAAAATAAGAATTTGAAAATGAATATTGAATTTAACTCAAGTTATAAAAAATATTGCAGTATTATACCTAATGTTAAATTTTCCATTTCAGAAATGGCACCAGCATGATTTCGCTCATAATACCGCCCAAAGATCAAATTTCCAGGGTGAGTAAAATGTTGGCGGACGAATTCGGTACCGCTTCGAACATCAAATCTCGAGTCAATCGATTGTCTGTATTAGGTGCAATCACTTCTGTACAACATAGATTGAAATTATACACAAAAGGTACTTCTATCAATAAATAATTAAATGACCATGTAACAACTATGTAACATTTTAGTACCTCCAAATGGGCTAGTAATATATTGTGGCACCATTGTAACTGATGAAGGTAAAGAAAAGAAGGTGAATATCGATTTTGAACCTTTCAAGCCCATCAACACTTCTTTGTACTTGTGCGATAATAAGTTCCACACAGAAGCCCTGACAGCTCTTTTGGCTGATGACAACAAATTCGGTTTCATTGTGATGGACGGTAATGGTGCACTTTTTGGTACTTTACAAGGTAAGAATTTTTATTCACACTCCAAGGTAATAATTTATATTTTATCATTCTCTTAAAAGGTAATACAAGAGAAGTTCTACACAAATTCACAGTAGACTTACCAAAAAAGCACGGTCGTGGAGGTCAATCTGCTCTGCGTTTTGCCCGTCTCAGAATGGAAAAAAGACACAACTACGTAAGAAAAGTAGCTGAAGTTGCTACACAATTATTCATCACCAATGACAAGCCCAACATTGCTGGGCTAATTCTGGCAGGTAGTGCGGATTTCAAGACTGAACTTAGTCAATCTGATATGTTCGATCCGCGATTGCAAGCCAAAGTAATTAAACTAGTAGATGTGTCTTATGGAGGTGAAAACGGTTTTAATCAAGCTATAGAACTAGCGGCAGAGTCTTTGCAAAACGTCAAATTTATCCAAGAGAAGAAACTAATTGGTAGATATTTTGACGAAATTAGTCAAGACACTGGCAAATATTGTTTCGGTGTCGAAGACACGTTGCGGGGCTTAGAATTGGGTGCTGTTGAAACTTTGATTTGTTGGGAAAATTTGGATATTCAACGATATGTACTCAAAAATCACACTAATGGTACTGACACTGTGCTGCATCTTACGCCAGAACAAGAAAAAGATAAGAGCCATTTTACTGACAAAGAGGTATGTTTACTTGACTTGTTATTTTTACATATGTAATAATGTATTTTAGAGCGGTGTGGAATTGGAATTGGTCGAATGTCAACCTCTACTAGAATGGCTAGCAAACAACTACAAAAACTTTGGTGCCACCTTAGAAATAATTACTGACAAATCTCAAGAAGGTTCTCAATTCGTACGAGGGTTTGGTGGTATAGGAGGTCAGTATCAGCTAACATTTTCAACTTTTTTGTAAGCTCTCGCTTATATTAAAAACACCCCTAGCGTTTTTTGCTGCAACAAACTAATTATTTTCTTTATAATGCCGCTTGTTTGGGACCCGTCATCATCAGGAATCCTACGTTATAAAGTCGATTTTCAGTCACTTCAGGCTGACGAGCCTTTGGACGACTTCGATCTTGATGATTATTAAGGTTTGTCACCTAAGTAGCTCCATAGATGGCATGCATTTTTGTTTGAGGGGGCGTTAATTAGCTTGGAATTTGTCAAGTTTTGTGTTCTGATTGGTTGATTTTTATTTGTTTGCAATACATTAGAATTGGCTCAAGTTTGGCCATAAGCCAATTCTGATGCAAAAGAATTTAAACAAAAAATCAACTAATCAGAGCACAGAATTGACAGACTTCAAGGTCATTTATGCCCCCCTGAGTAGATTTTACGCTTTTATTTTTTTTTTCTTCAGGCAATTTTATTGTATAAGAATTTTTTTGGCTTATTATTTATTACTGAATTTTAGAAGTAAACATTTTTTTTTGATTTACGATGTTTGCTTGCCTTCAAGAAGGTAGGAAATTTTTGAATACCAATTATCTTAAACATATGCAAATTCCGTTATATCATCACAGTGGATTTTGAATTTTTGGGGAAAATTTCAAAAATGGTTAAACCTGTAATTTGTATGAATCATTTCTTGGAATTCAAGAAAAGTGAGCACTTTTCATCTACCGAAGCTGAATTTATGACTCATAGTCATGGTGTATCAAAGAAGTTACAAATTCAACTTGCACTTATGACTCCTTTAATGATGTTTTAAATATCTCTTCCAGGTCTATTGCGATACAAAGTGGATTTCCAAAGTTTTCAGCTAGAGGAATTAGACAGTGCGGACTTTGACTTAGATGATTATTAAATTACCCTTTTTGGAAAATAAACTATTTTCAAATCAATAATTACAATAATAACAAATTTGCTGTTGTAGGAGTGGTGTCCTGAAAGCCTTTGCATTCTTAGCTCAATTAGTTCAGATTATTAATTTGTTTTTTTCTCTATTATTCACAATAACAATAATTGATTTTTAGATGTTTAAATAATTTGTTATATTTATTTAATTTATATTTTAGTCAAATTGTAGCGAATAGTTTTTGTTTAAACGCGTTTTCCAATGTCACCATCCAATCGGATTTTTTTTTTAAATAAAAATCACATTTCTTTAACAGGTTACTACTCTTACTATGGTTTCAATTTGAAAATCCTAGAAGTTCCAAATTGCAGGCAATAATATGGAATTTCATTACACGTGTAGACAAACTACAATAATTGGTATTTTTTTTTTTTTGATTAAAAATTGTAATGTGTTACCCATATTCTAAGAAAAGCAAATACAGTTTAAATTAATTGTCTATGGAAAATTTCAGTTGATTGTTTTATGGAATGGCGTACCTAATTGTGAAGACAACAAAATAAAATTTTTATAAACTAGGTTTGTTTCAATTTTGGACAGTTTCCAAATCAGAGTCCACCCTCTATCGATATTTTTCAATATTTATAGGTAATGAAATATGTCATGGATATTTATAACTTCATTTGCACAGGAGATTCAGTCTTATTCAGATAACGAATTAAATCAACTTTAGAAGCTTCCGAAAAATATTTCAAGCCATCAGAGGGACTTCAAACTTTCAGGATTTATTGAGTAGGATCTTTTTATCAAACAGAACAAATCGCAAGTGAATCTCGGGCTCACAAATGAAATTATCTTCAATAATAAGACAGTTTTCAGTCTTTTATATGTAAAAAAAGAGCATCATAAGACGATAGATTTCTATCCTTATAATATACCAACAAAACATTTTCATAAAATAAAAAGTAAGCAATTTTATTCACCAATAAACAAACATATTTTAAACTTAAATAAATCGGGCTTAAAGCCCACATTACAGTGCTTCTTGTGCTGAAACTTCTGGACTACTATCTGGAATTTCTGGTAAATCGACTTTTAGCATATTAAATCGTTTTTCCAAATCATCACTGACTCCACTATTATCATCTGGAGGCTGATTATCATCCAAATCAGCCTTAAGGAGGTCTTCCAATTCTTGTTCTAGGGCTGCAGTGTCATCGTCACCAGTGGGAGATCTTGCCAATGCTGCTTGGACATCTTCATTTTGATCCATAATCTTAAAAAAACAATTAAATTTATTAATTTTATAAGCATTAGAACAATAAGAATTACATCTCCTAGCTTCAGCATAGTGTCATCTACAGCCTCCTCATTCAAACCAGTTTCTTTGTAAGTGGTATTAAAAGCATCTAAAGCATTTTTGTATGCTTCCCAAACATGAGCGTTGGTGTGAGTGCCTTTGAGTTGCTCCAAACAATTTTGTACATTGTGTAATGCATTTGCTTTTTTTTCCAGTTGCTTCTCGAGCTGGTGCTTCTTTACCAGACAACTTTTAGCCTAAAATTCCATATTCCAATATCTTCTCTAATGAGTCTTTAAATACTTACCAATTGCTTGTGTTTCTTCTTAAGTTGAATTTTAGCCTGCTCCACGCAATTATCAATTTCATCTTCTAATGATTCTACATGTTTTGAAATTAATTTTTCATTTTGCTCCAAAGTGTGTATTCCAACGTCTATATCTGTAATGGGTGCAACTGAATTACCTTCGCCTATTTTCAACAAAACAGTATCTAATTCATTGTGATTTGTTAGGGTTTTAGTTGAAATTTTTTCTTGGTTTTCTAAATAGTGTAATAGAAGTTTTAAATTTTCATTATTTGGTATGTTTGGGCCTAATATGGTTGTTAAATCTTTGAGGCTAATGACTTTGTTTCTTAAACTTTCTGGTATTAGTTTTAGTAGCGCTTCACTTTTGGTTTTTATAACTTCTAAATGAACATATTGTCCGTTGGTGGTTGCAGGAAATATCGTTTTCTTCATTGTATTGTAGGACCAACTCAAAGGTCTTTTGATAGCAACATCAGTTAACCAACCACCCCAAGAGTGTGACGATTTCCTCAAAAAAACATCCATTATTTCAACTTCATGGTTTTTTATCATATCGGAAATAACTTCTCCCAGGCAGGGCGGAGGCCTGCCGTGCCTTACAAATACGTCGTTTAGAGAGGCTAATGTAAACGAGAAAATGTTGGTAGATTCACAATAGATTTTTATAATCGATTTCCATGTTACTATTTTATCACCCCAATCTTTTGGGTTTACACTGCGATTTCTCAGTGGGCCAAAAAGGACGTTTAGACGGTTTTGGTCTTTGAGGCTCTCTGGAAGCTTTGCCTCCGGTATATTGAACATTTTTAACGACAAATTATTAATTAACTGGGATTTCTAGTTTGTTTTGTTTTTATTTATTTATTTTTGGAGTGTAATGGCACTGACAGTATGACAGTAATGACAGCAGTACAATTTTTTTAGGTTATGTGGTTTTATTTTAGGTGAGTTCGGAATAGTTGTATTCCTTTCAAGAGCCTTGAAACACTCGAGCTACTCGTTCCGGTGTTCAGCCGCCCCCGATTTGCAGGGAACAGATGCGTGGCGCAACAAACACTTTTCGAAAGGAATAAGCGCGTGAAGCCCCGGAGCTCCTCCTAGGTGTGAAAGGAATACAACTATTGGTAGAAAGTGTCGACACTTTTTACACTATTGACACTGTGGCGTTCGTTAATTGGTAAGAGTAAGTTTGGTGTACACTCATTTGCGTTTGGAAATAATTTGGTGCCCGAAGGGCGTGAAGATAGTGGGACACCGTTTACTCGGTATAAAATAATGGTGTATTCGGTGTTACACCGACGCTTACAACTTCATCACGTGATATAACACTGCACTACACGAATACCGCACTAACACTGCACTAAAGTCCCATTCCGAACTCAACTTTTGTTCGCGCATCGCACATCCCGAACATTAGTTGTATTCCTTTCAAGAGTTTAGAACACTAGAGCTAACTCGTTTTGGTGTTTCTCAACCCCGATTGGAAAATAACAGATGCACTGTTTTTCGTGCATTCAAATGGGTTTGTTTGGGCTTAAGCACTTCAGGTGCAACAAACACTTTTCGAAAGGAATAAGCACGTAACGCCTCGGAGCTGCTCCTAGATGTGAAAGGAATACAACTGTTCTGGTTATTAGCCGCCTATTTTCTATTTTTCAGAAAATGTAAGAGTGTTCTGTTTATGATTCTAAAACCCTCTACAAAAGACACAACATAAATATAAAATAAATATAAATAACTAATTAGGAACCAATGGCAAATTTAAATAGAGAGTTCTCGTGCTGTCCAAATTTCAAATACCGCAACGTTATTTGACAAGTATGACAGTTCTTACGGTATTAGCGTTAGCGGAGCCCGCTACGTAACGGGAGTTAGCGGATGCCTTACCGTAACGCTATGCTATGTCAAAATTAGTTTACGCTCCATTTACGTTTGCAAGAACAGCAACTTTTAATAATTCCTCCATAAAAAACACCAAGGAAAAATTTATCTAACTCAGAATCTTCAGGATAAATAATAAGTTAGAAAACAAGCAAAAAAAAGTTGGGTTAGATCACTCAACTCAGCTGTCAAAATGTAAACAGAATAAGGGATTAGAGTATTTTTGTGTCTCCGTGCCCGAGAACTATAAAATACCATGTAAAATACCGTATTGTTACCGGTACCGTAATAGCATAGCGTTTGAGGCACGAGAACTCTCTAATGAGTTATGGAGGGCGCTTCTGTACTCGGAGCTTTTAAAATTGTGAGGTTTTAGAACTTCTACTCTGACTGTTCCAAGTGCACTGACTCTTTTTGATCTGTTCAACTGTCCGAACTATCTTGACTGTTCTAGTTCTGTTCCATTTAACTTACTATTTATTAGGGGGGGTATTATAAAACTGCTTTGACAGTTAACTTGAAGTTAACTTCTGGAATTACATGTAAGGGTGGATTTTCATGCATCCGTTTTTCCGACGAAATATGTCCGAAAAACTAAATCGAGTTAATGCAAATGGAACAGAATTAGAACAGTCAAGGTAGTTATGACATTTGAAAAAGTAACAATCAGAGCAGTGCAAACAGAACAGAGTAACTCGAATAATAAAAGGAATTGACGTTTTCAATTAAAAGAGATGGACGATAAAGTATGAAAACAGATTCCCGCCAATATTTGCTTGCTCGTCAATGTCAAGTGTATAGGGTGTTTAGCAATCCGGTTTTTATTCTAATCGGTGACTCCACCGATGAGTTAGGTATCTTTGTTCAGTGAATGGAAAATGACAATGACCGACATAGAATGGTGAAACTTGAAATTGGAAAGAAAATGTGGGAAGCAAACAGCTTCCGCAAACTAAAGTTGCACGTGGATTTCTTTGTAAACTTGATGGGCCGTGAATTTCCCTTTCTTTTGCGAGTATCCGTTCTGATTTTGTGTATCCAAATTTTGACAAATGTAGAATTTGATAAAAACTTATGGAAAGACACATCCGCCGGTGAATAGGAATTATTTTCACGAAAAGGCACACTACACACAATCACCATTATTAGGAAAAAACCTTGAAAAAACCGAGGAAATAATAGTTTCCACTCTCACACCTATAAAAGTCTTGTCAACAATAAACCACTGTCAATAGCTGTCAATCATTGTTTTCATCTTTGAATATAAAAAGGAAGGAGCGTTTTCTATCTGTCACTACAGACAACGCAGGGACGGAAACGGCCATTTTGAGCCTCCAAGTTTGGACTCATCATTTGTTTTGGTGGTTCGCTGTGTCCTCATTCAAGTGGATGTTTAATGGATTTTAGCGGTTTTAAGTGATAATAAGTATTGGAATTAGTGAGAAAAGAGTGAGTCATAATATTTACAATCATATTTAAATAAATATACGCCACTGCCAAACCGGAAACACTAGTCGGCCATATGCAACCTCAACATATTTTGGTCGCGCAGATTCGAAGTTATGCTCCTTCCTGTAGTTTTATATTCAAAGGTTTTCATACTCTTTTGGCGTCTGACAGTCTGACGCCAGAGAGAGAGGCTTCTAAATTGAAAAGGTCAATTCAAATAGAATTGATGCAGATGGAATACTTAGGGTGGGTATTATAAAACTACTTTGACAGTTAACTTAAAGTTAACTTCTGGAATTACATGTAATTCAAAAAGTTAACTTAAAGTTAACTGTCAGAGCAGTTTTATAATACCCACCCTTAGAGTAATTTGGATCGAGTTAGTGCAAATGAAACAGAATTAGAACAGTCGAGGTAGTTCGGACAGTTGAATAGGTCGAAAAAAGTCAATGCATATGGAACAGTCTGAGTAGAATTACTAAAAAAACAAAATTATTTTCAAATCGGCGTATTGTTGTAGATAAATTTACTATTTAATAGTATATTAGAGTATCTTTGTAGTTCGAACAGTAACAATCGGAGCAGTGCAAAAAGAACAGAGTTAGTGCAGATGAAATAGGAATTAAAGCAATTTGAACATTTAGAGTAGCTCGAATAGAAGAAATTCAAATAGAATTAATACAGAGCCGCTTTCCAGTATGCACATTGGCGCGCTCTAGAGCATCTCGGGGGCGCCACGCACTAGATTTGTACCGTTCCAGTATCATGGCGTGAGACGCCAGTCTTAGTGTCAAATATGTCAAATTTTAAAAATAATTATCTGTTTTTTTATGCAGTTTGTTTTTTTATTTATCAAAAATGAAAGAGAATCAAAACTATATTTTTTAAAATGTTCAATCTTGAGATATAACAAGAAATAAATAGATAAATAGCCACCCGCGGATGTGACAGCTGATAGGTTGACGCGAACGTACAGCTCGGGGGCTCAACGCCCCGAGCAGCTCCGGGCGTCACACTCCCATACTGGAAAGCGGCTCAGATGGAATGCTAGAGTAACCAAACAGTAAGTAAAAAAGAAGTATTTGTTCGGAAACGAGTTCAGTTCAGTTCGGATTGATCTGGGGTGCAATTTTCGAAACCATTCGAGTACATTTCGTACACGAAATTTGACGCCTGATACGATCGGGCTCACTTTTAGATTTGAGCCGAACTCTATAGTTGTATTTCTTTCAAGAGTTTGAAACAATCGAACTACTCGCTCCGGTGTTCAGTCGCCCCCGATTTGCAGGGAACAGATGCGTGGTGCAACAAACACTTCGAAAGGAATAAGCGCGTGAAGCCCCGGAGCTGTTCCGGAGTTTCTCTTAGGTGTGAAAGGAATACAACTTTTAACATGAGAGTCACAAGAAGCTCCGGAGCTAGTCGTTTGGAGTAAGTAACACATGAAAAAAACGCTTTTTTAAATCTAATTTGTTGCACTTGATTACGTTATAGGTTTATTTGTTTGTGTTGTTCGGAGCAGCACTTTCTACATTGGGGCATTGGTTTGTGTTATGGCAATGAACTCACGGTTATTCGTTTGGTGAAGTGCAGTTTCTTCCAAATTGTTTAGTTCATGTTCAACCTGCTCTTGCTTTCCAGAGCCACTTTCGGGTGCAGAGTGTGAAGCTCCTAGAGCGCTCCACACCCGATATAAAGTGTGTTTTTTTTTTTAAAGATAATTCCCCAAGTCAAAAATTTAGTAACTGTTGGCCACACAAGCCTTTTCTACATAAAAAATTTGAAAGCATTGACAATTTTACATTGTATTGCCAACATAATGTTATTTTGACTTTCATCTTTTAAAAAAAAACAGACTTTTACCTCATGCGTTTTGCACCCGAACGGTTGAAACCGTAGGTGGGTTCGGCTTGCTCACTCCGTGCACTCCGAGTGACTCCATTCGCACTCCAGCCGTTCGGGTATTGTTTTTGGCGTATTAGGGGTGACTCCATTAGCGTTCGACTATACGGAGTAGTGTAAATGGAGTTCACTCCAAAAGTTCCACCTCGGAAAGAGAATTTTTCAGGGTAATGGCGATTTCCATTTGTCAATCAGTGCGCACTGAGTGTATCCGCATCTTTTTCTGAAAGCATGTAACGTAAGGATAAGGATAAAAAAAATTTGCACTGGTTCGACAAATGGAAAACGCTATAGGCATACGCAGAAAAATGTGTAAACTGTTCGTTGTCACTGGCGTAGCCAGGGGGTGGGGGGGCAAGGGGGCATTTGCCCCCCACAAGACTTTTAAATTTTATAAATAATTCTTCAAAATTGAAATAAACAGTCCGTGGCACTCAAAAATTTCGCGCCTGCGGCGCTTTGCCTCCGTTAGCGGTCACGGTGGGGCCGCAAGAAACACTTCCTGCAAATTTGCCCCTCCCCAAGACAAAATCCTGGCTTCGCCAGTCGTTGTGTTGTCACGTTGTGGTTGTTGTGGAAAAATTTCCTTGACAAACTTAAACTTAAACAGAGCATCATATTCATTATGGAGGAATTACACGAAAAACTAAAGACAGAAGTGGAAAAAAATTTGGAAACTGGAACGAATGTTCTAACGGTTCTAACTGTTGTTTAAAAAAAAACAAAAGAAATCTGTTTGACATTTTTGCTCCGACCGTTCGTTTATTAATTTTTCACTCTAATCACTCCTAGATCACGTAACAAAAATCTGTTTTTACTCCACTCCAACTCCGTGCCAAATAGCCGAACCCAGCTCGTATTGCCCAGAGCCTAATGCCTCATTCTCATTTGCGCGAAATTCGCTCTTTTTGCGCGAAATTAGCTCTTTTTTTGACATTGCTTCGACAATTTGACGTTTAGTGCGGGTATCAAACGTCAAAATTTCGAAGCAATGTCAAAAAAGAGCGAATTTCGCGCAAGTGAGAATTAAGCTTCACGCAAACATGAAATGGTAGGTGCTTCAGAGGGTGAGAGACGAGGCAATGAGAGCAGCTCGAGAGCGTCAAACTCTGTTCACCCGAACGGGTCAAACTGTAGCCGAAGTACTTCGGAGTAAAACCTAGTACTCATCATAACTGCGAAATTCGCTCTTTTTTTGACATTGCTTCGAAAATTTGACGTTTTATGCCGGTATCAAACGTCGAATTGTCGAAGCAATGTCAAAAAAGTGCGAATTTCGCAGTTATGAGTACAAGGCTTAACTCGGGAGCGCTCAAAGGGTAGCACCCAAAAGCGGCTCCGGAGTAGGGCAGCCTAGAATTAAATGTCAAAAACGCCATCAACGGTATCGCACCAACCTGTTCTCTGCAATATCCCCTTGTATAAAAAAGTGGCTGCCTGAGGCTACCTGCAACGTCATAGTCGTCTCCACTATCTTCATCACTTGATAAAACAAATTCGATTTCGAAATACAGGTCGTGTTTGTTTTTGTTATCTTTTTCGTCGATTTGGTCCGAAACTTTGACAGGCACGTGACTGGATCAGACAGTTTCAATTCAAATCATGGGCCTGTCAAAATTGCGGAGCAATTCGACGAAGAAGATGACAAAATCGAACACGGCTATAAATAAATGTATTCCTTTCACACCTAGGAGGAGCTCCGGTGCAGCTCCGGGGCTTCACGCCCCTATTCCTTTCGAAAAGTGTTTGTTGCACCACGCTTCTGTTCCAGTGATCTGTTCCCTGCAAATCGGGGGCGACTGAACACCGCAGCGAGTAGCTCGAGTGTTTCAAACTCTTGAAAGGAATACAACTATTAATAATAATCTTCCTCACAAATTAAAAATCATATATTAAAAAACTTCGTGCGTTTGTATCAGAATATTTATTGTTCTAATGGCCGTTTGCATCGATCAGTTAAGGGGAGGTTTTTACGGAAATCAATCTTTGAAGTGAAATTTTTGCATGTAAAAATAGCACTTTAAACGTTGATTATCGTTAAACCTTCTTTAAAATGGTCGGTGCAAATGGCTATAAAGCAGTTATTAGTTGGACTGGTGACGCTACAAACCTGAAATACTTTGCGCTCAATTCAAGTTGATGCGACACAGAGAAAGAAACCCTAATGAAACATTGCGAACCAGTGTAACAGTCATTTTGCACTCGTTCCAAAGTGCTGGTTCGAACTGCACTAGAGCTATTTTTTAACGAAAGAAAAAGCCAAATAACTGTTCTGATATACATTTAATATTGTAATAGGAATTATTTTTTTATAATCCAGTCCTAAATCCTCCTCAAACAAAGCTAGTTTTTAATTTTGGGTTGTTACCAAGCATAAAAAATCGCTATCATGATGGATCTATGCGAAAACACTTATATCAACTGTCACTGTCAAATATTATTGTTTTTTTTTATGGTCAAATTAAAAAAATTTAAAAACAAAAAACAATTATTATTAAATATTAGTACAACTACAAATTATTGTAATCATGCCTTACAACATTAAGCGACACCTAAACAATTATTACCTAAACAAATTAAAAATTATCATTTATTAGGAGAGGCAATAGAGCCACAAAACTTCCAAGAGGAATATTTTCAAAAGGAATAAAGTAAAGTTAAGTAATGGAAAACCCTAAATCTTCCCTAATCCCTTGCCAAAATGCAATTCACAAGCACGAACTGATTGTACATTATAAAATCAATTTTAAAAACGTATGTCTATTTGCTGTTTCGATTCCACTAGGAGCCCTAGTAGTTTGTGTACTGTCTGCTCTTATTTTTCAATTCGATGATGTACATGAAACACATTGTAGGGTAAGTTTTATTTTTACCAAACTAATATTGAGTTTTATAAGTAAGTAAAACTCAATTTAGGTCTTTAACATTGTACCATCGATAAGTGCTGTAACAGGGGTAAGTCCTCAAAGGTACATTTGGAGGATTAGTGTTGCTTTGCACATTGGACCAAGAATTACATTAGCTGCTGTGTACAATTCATATCAGTTAGGTATTGTGGATCCTTTATCAAAGGTAAGGGGGTACAGTACAATATTGAACAAACCCTGCTACAAATTGATTTTGTTTAGAATAAAACACGAGCCCAATTATGGTTAAATGTAGCCTATTTTCTCAATCTTATTGAGGCAGCTGCATTGTGTGGTGTTGCTTACATTTCAAATAGGGAAAATTATCGTAAGTAAAGTTTTGAGGGGCAATTTAATATATTATACAGATATTTTTTTTTAAAAAGCAATTCATGAAAAGCTCTTTATAATATTTATGGTGAGCAGCTTAACACACATGCTGGCTTGTATACAAGGTACCAAACTTGCTGCAGGAACTAGAGATGATTTGGATTTTGAAACAATAAAAGCTAGTTTAAAATTTAAAAAAGATATGCTCGTATTGTCACTGTTGTGTACTGCAGGTTTGGTTATTTTTTTTCTGCAACATCGATTTTTTTGTATTAGGTTGGGTAAGTTTGTGTAGTAGGTATTATGTTGTGTACAATAATACCTAATTATTTACAGCATTTAGTATGTTTGCATTATTTGAGTATATCATAGCAGCAGCGAATATGGCCTTCCACATATCAACTATCAAGGATTTTCCCACTGAAGATTTTGTGGTTGGTAAATTTATTGTTCCAAATCCAGTCTCGTCTAATAAAAATTGCGCTGGTGATATTGAAGTAGCTACACGTGAAAAACACGATTAAAATAATTGTAAAAAAAAAATAGTTTGTTCTTTGCTGCCAGAATAATAATTAAAAATTGCCATGTGCCATTTATTTTCTGGCACTTATACACTTTGTAGAAGATTCTAGTGTCATGAAAATACTCAATATTTAAATCCACAGATGTACAAATATTAAAGAAGCTCCTAAAGTTTTACATTTTTCAGACTCTGCTAAATGTAATGAGCCTGTTTTACTTAAAATTGCATCGATGGTTTTAAAACCCTTACCTTATTATATTGTGATATTAATTATAAATTACTTTTCTCTCTTTTTATTATTTATACTTATGTTTCTCAAAAACATCTTGACCAAAGAAAAGCAAATATTATTTTTCTTAGAATTAAATTATCCATAAAACTGCAGGAAAAGACTGCTTAAATGAAATATCAAAATATAGTACTAATAGTGTCAGTTTCAAATTTGAAAAGTGTACAACTAGAATCTAAAATTTCAAAAATCCCTACTTTTGTGGGGTTTTTGAAAATTATTTTCAAGATGGAATTAATGAGAAAAATAACTGTTTTTAGACCTTTTAGAGAGGACTAAATTACATTAATATATGTTGAATTATTTTATTGTATCAGTCTTTTAAGGGCTATCGAATTTATAGATAACTTCACTTCAATAATATTATTTGCAGGGTTGGCAAACATTTTTCTCTACTCTTTGGTTTTTGGATGGATTTTTGATGGATATCTCCATATAAATTAACACAAAAACAGGGTTGGCAGGATATAGGTATATCAGCGATAAATATCCTGTATATATCTTGATAAATATCATGATATTTATGCTATAAATATCCTGATATATATCAATAATATTTGAATGGCCTTTTTTTCCTATTTTATAGTTTTATTATTTTATTTATGAGAAGGAAATCACAGAGATTATATTTATTTTTATTTGTATATAAGAAATAGTAGGTTTTTAGGGCGGGTATTATGAAACTATTTATACAGATAACTAAAAGTTAACTTCTAGTTATTCTGTCAAAATAGTTTTATAATACCGGCCCTAAGTTGTAGATTTCTTTTAAAATGTTTCCATATTCTTAAACTCAAATTTTTATTTACCTACTACACTTTACATTCCTATACATAACATATGTATAGGAGCACTAAACCTTGTTATCGCCATAACAACTTTACATGTTTGTAACATATTATTAAATTCACCATAAAGTTATTTTAAATTTTAATAATTAGTCTAGGAAAATTATCAATTTTCAAAAAAAAAATCCTACCCAAAAGAACTTTTCAGGGAGGATAGGGGGAGGGTGGGTGATCAGAAAACCAAAAATATCAAACATTCACCCCTCTGGCGTTTTGCGCTATAGGGGTTGGAAGTGCGCCATTGGCGATTACTTGGTACCTGTTGATTTCACAAAAAAATGTTTCAGATAAAAGATGTGCCGCATTATTTGATCTACAATGTTTATCTAAAGACTTTTTTGATTAAGGGCCGTCTGTGGTCATAAAGGCCGTTTGAAATTTTATAATGAAAATGAAAAATTTCAACCAACGTGAAAAAATTTTCTACAACTCATACAACATTTTTGCTTTATGAAGTTTTCACTCACCCCCTGCCGTTTTTCAATAGGGGTAGCTTTAAGTTTTTTTATTTTTTTACAAAAAAATTTTCTTAATAAAAGTTTTATGAGATGACATTTCCTACAATTATTCCTAATCAACTTTTTTTGTAACTCACCCCCATTCAGCGGGGGGACACTTCCCTCGGGGAAATTTTAGTTTTTAGGGGTATATATTATTTTTTTTTCTTTTCTCACCTTTGGTGCATATAAAAAGTTGCAATTAACATTGTATTAAAAGGATTTTTTTTTCACCACCTTTTTGTTTTTAGGGGTAGTTTGCCTATTTTCAACTTTACAAAAAAAAATTATTAAGAAAACTTGTTCATTTTATTATTTTGAGCAACTTTTCTCTATAACTTTTTTTTGTAAAGTTGGAAATAGGCGAACTACTCCTAAAAACAAAAAGGTGGTGGAAAAAAATCCTTTTAGTACAATGTTAATTGCACCTTTTTATATGCACTAAAGGCGAGAAAAGAAAAAAAAAATAATATATACCCCTAAAAACTAAAATTTCCCTAAGGGAAGTGTCCCCCCGCTGAATGGGGGTGAGTTAAAAAAAAAGTTGATTGGGAAAAATTGTAGGAAATGTAATCTTATAAAACTTTTATAAGGAAATTTTTTTTGTGAAAAAATAAATAAACTTTAAACTACCCCTATTGAAAAACGGCAGGAGGTGAGTAAAAACTTCATAAGGCAAAAATGTTGTATGTGTTGTAGAAAAATTTTTCACGTTGGTTAAAATTTTTCATTTTCATTATAAAATTTCAAACGGCCCTTATGACCATAGACGGCCCTTAATCAAAAAAGTCTTTAGATAAACATTGTAGATCAAATAATGTTGCACATCTTTTATTTGAAACATTTTTTTTGTAAAATCAATAAGTACCAAGTAATCGCCAATGGCGCACTTTCAACCCCTATAGCGCAAAACGCTAGAGGGGTAAATGTTTGATATTTTCGGTTTTATGATCACCCGCCCGCCCCCTATCATCCCTGAAAAGTTCATTTGGGTAGGATTTTTTTTTTGCAATACATGTATTTTTCGACTATTTTCCTAGACATATATCGATATATATCGGATAATTGGATATGTATGTAAATATCATGATATTTGCCAACCCTGCACAAAAATCTACAGAAAAATTGAAATTCTAACTTCTGAATGTGTTTTTAGAGTATTCTAATTTGTTCATGAAAATTTTAAAATAGTTCTAAAGTGTCATGTAACTATTTTCTAGATATTCTGAATGTTTCCAGTTCAAGATTACTTATTTCCAAAAGTTCCATATCATTTGTAAAGTGTTCTAGAGCTCTCCAAAGTACTCCTAGAAATTTTAACTTGGATTTAAACCTGAACTTCAAAGTATCTCAAGCTTTCTTAAATGTTCTCAGAAGTTCGGAAGTACTCTGGTTCTTTGATTTGATTCCAAACTGCAAGTTCTAATGCAGGAAGATTGAAAATTGGACAAGGTCTTCTGAAACTTATCAAAGCTCGAAATTGCTCTAGAGTAGAGTAGTCTAGAGCATCTTAAAATAATTAAAAATGTTCCACTTGCACCAGCGCATTCTGAAGCTTTTTAAAATGCTTTCTAAAGTTTTCAATTAGTTGGTTGCTTAATGCTCTTGAAGCGCCATAATGTTTTAGATTACCAGAAATCTCCCAAATATTATTAAGCGCTTTTTGATAGTTCTAATTGAAATTCTGAATAAGTTCAGAAGTGTTTTAGAGTGTTCTAATATGTTCATGTAAGTTTCAGGTTAGTTCTTAAGTGTCATGTGATGAATTTCAAGATATTCTGAAAGTTTTCATTTCTAGATTGTTTCCAAAAGTTCTATATTGTTCCAAAAGCTTTCTAAATGTCCAAAGTTCAAAAGTGCTCTGGTCTATTCTAGAATGTTTCTGAAATTGATTCTAAAGTGTTCTGTAACGTTTTACAATGTTTTTAAAGATTCCAATTTGTTTAAAACAAATGCAGAAGGATTCAAAATTGAATTGAAGGTCTTCTGAAGCTCATCAAAGTGCTGAATTGCTCTAGAGCGTCTCAAAATGCTTTAAAATGTTTTAACCTCGGTATTAACTTAGAACAAGCGCATCCTGACTTTTCAAAATACTTTCCAGAGTTTTTAATTGGTTCCCTAATGATTTTGAAGCACTGAAATATGCTAAAAGTTATCAGAAATCTTCCAAATGTTCTTAAGCGCTCATTGATACTAATTTAGTTATCAAAAACACAAATATCCATGAAAAACACAAATATCTACCAAAAATCTCTAAAATCCAATTCTCTATCCACTATACTACACTTAGCCGGACTTTCGCCAACCCTGATTATTTGCTTTAAAAATATACAAATTACCAAATACTTATATGTATATGAAAAAAAAAAAAAAAATACAAATACCAAAGAATTCCAATGCCATTTTTTTTATTTTTATGCCTTAAGTCAACCATAAAACCATTCTACTTTAAAAGGAATAATTAGGCAAACCTACCAAAGTCTGCTTTCAAAACTTCCATAAAAATTAAATTTTCGAAATGCACAGTAAATTAGGATTTTTCAAATTAAAACACTTTTATCTAGTGTAGATGAAATTTCATAGAACAATTATTAATAGTAGATGAAACCTGTAACTGAGCAATTTAAGACATTTATAATTATGCGATATTTTTAGTGATACCTGTTGTTGATTAGCAATAATAATTAATTATTTAAAAAAATAATAATGTGATATATTTTTAGCTTTTAGTAGAAGTTTTATTCTTATTGTAAATATTTTTACATTTGTGATTTTATTACTATTTTATTTTACAAGTTTGATGTATACAATTGCATTCCTATTATTGTAGTGAATAAAAAACCCTTTTAGTAGTGAAAATATGAATTATTTATTTAAAATCCTGGTATTATTTTTCCTCTCTTAGAAGCGCTCTTCAATTTTTTAACTTTCTTATCCTTTTTCCTTTTGTCAATGTTCTCTTTGCGTTTCTTCTGTTTCTCTTCTTTGGATTTTTCAACTCCTTGTATCCTGGCTTCCCATTTCTTTTTACTAGATCTCACTTTTTGTTCGTGCTTCTTGACTGATTTTTTGAGTAAAATAGGGTCGTCTTTGATTTTTTGTCCTTCAGCTTTGGCCAAGGCATTTTTCCAAGCGGTTTGTTCCTTGATTTGTATTACTTTGTCAGTTTCACCGCTTTTCTCCAGTTGTTCGAGCCTAGTTTTTTCTTCGTTGAGTTTCTCCAGGATTTTTTGGGGATTTTTTTCTTGTTTTTTAACCTTTTGCTTGCCTAAATTAGCAAAATCGATTTTGGAAAATACAATTTTATTTTCGCTATTGAATACAGGCTTTTTAATTTCGGGCTTAATATCTTCAACTAGATCTTGTGTATTTTCATTTTTCACTGTTGTTAATTTTGCGGCCCTTTCCAGTTTGGATTTGGCATTACGTTCGTCTTGCTTGTTCTTTTTCTTCATACGATTTTTGAGGCCTTTTTTAGCAAGTTTTTCCTTGTATGTGAGCTTCTTTTTGCTGGTTATCGCTTTGAGTCTTTGCTCCAATTCCTGAAGCGATTTAGCTCTGGATTTTTTGCTGGTATCGTCCTGCAGATGGGGTTTTTCCGTTTGATCTTCATTATCGCTTTCATCCTGATCTAAAATAGCAAAAAATCAATATTATTTTGTTGGGTAATGATAACAAAAAAATCTTACTTCGTCTTTCTGGTATGGCACACATGGACATCAGATTCATTATGAATTTATTTTCGTTGGCTAAAAGCTGTTCGGCTTTTTTAATATCGAATCTGTTTTCTGATTTTAATAACTGCATTTTGGAGTTTTCAATATTTATTACAAAAAGTAAAAATAATCAAATCACTAGTGAAAACTCGCGGTCTGAAACATTAACCTCACATTTTCAAAAAGTGAATTCTTTTCAATAATCAATTTATTAAATATGTCGGTCTCTGTCATTACCTATGTACTAAACAAAGACGAAGAGCTCTTGTCAAATGAAGTTACTTTTGTCACTATCAAATTTCAATGTCAACATTGTCACCTCCATTCATCATTTCATTTGACAAATTTCCTATTTACTTGAATGAAATTGTATTTAAATACAAATTCCTGAAATTCCATATTATCCATTTATTCTTTGATGTTCATTTTTTTTTAATCTTATGTGTGAAGTGTCCTGTGTCCTGGTAAAAGAGAAATTTTATGGATAAACTATTAAGTAAATAAAGCCAGATAAGTAATTAAACGCATGGGTAATTAAGTGGAAAAACTCATATATTTTTATATCAGAAATCCGTTTTTCCGGTATTACATTTTCATTAGAAATTATCTCGGTACAATTTTCTTGTTTACATTAGAAACTAATGGAATTGAAGTGCCATTAAATTTCATCATTTTGTTGTGCAATTATGTTACAAAATACCTGCCTTGGAAAAACCTGAACTTCTCAGAATTCGCTGTTTGGTAGAATTTTAAATCGGCCTAGAAAAAACCATGGAAGAAGATTTAAGTCCAAACGACGACATGAGCGCTTGGGATTCGTATGGAAAAACGCCCCCGAGAACGAAAATATTGAGGAAAAATAGGGAGAGGAAACAGAAGTTTTCGAGGTGAGTCTTTGAAATGTTGTTTTGCATATAACTTATTTTTAAAACTATAAAGTATTATACTAACATAAGGTTCTATTTAGGGCTACAAGCCAAAAAATTTGTTTTCTCAGAAATTGTAAAAATTTTAAAAGGTACCACTATTTCAATTTACACTTAGCAGTCTCCTGATGTTTTTATTCATTTTTCAATGAAAAATATATGCCAATTAAGTGCTTTTAACTGACATACCTACCAATCATCATAATAAATCAATAAAATGGTCAACAACAAGCTATTATTTTTAATACAGGGGAAGACCAGCTTGTTACAAGGTAAAATCTAAAACTTTAGCCAAACTAGCACCAAAATATCTAAAATGTTGAGAATCAGGTAGATATAAGAGATTTTTCTGAGATTTTGCAGTTCAAAATATGATAAGGGCGAGGGGTCAATCACTATGCTTACGAATGTACAATGATTTCCGTATTTGGCAATCACTGATCAATGAATCTCATGTATTACTATCCCAAGAATTGCGACTGATTGCCATTGATTTTCAGAGAGTTTTGTATAATTACCAGGTGATTTCAATTTTTCCTCGGAATTCTTATATACCTAATTTCCAATTGATTACCTGATTCCCTCGATGATTTCCTACCATCATCCAATTTTCAGCTGAATTTATCACGAAAACAATGTCTAATTGTTAAGTTTCGCATCGATATGACAAAAATAAACAGTCTTTTCTCTTATAAAAACATATTTCCACTGCAAAATTGGCAACTTCTGCCCTAGATACCATTGTGTGTCTACATTGTATAATTTGGATCTAATATTTTCAAATGCGAAATGGAGAATGTTTACCTGGAGGATAATTCTGCAACTCCACAAAACCACAACAAATTCCTGGGCCTCACAATTGATAAGTCTCTCAAGTTTGACGATTACATTTCTAATCTTTGTAAAACGGTTTCTTCGGGATGTTATGCCTTAAGAGTGATATCGGGGAGTTTGTATGTCTCGGTTGCTAGGAATGCTAGGCTTTGGTGGAGTCTCACCTACAATATGACCTAAGCTTTTGTGGTTGCTGCACTCTTTCACTGTTTGATTCAGTGCTTCTGCTTCAGAAGAGGGCAGTTCGTTGTACATTCAGAGTAAAGACTCGTGATTCCTGTCACCCTTTTTTCATCAGTCATGCTATCCTTACGCTTTATTCAATGTTTATAATGGAAACAGTGTGCGTGATATTCAGCAAGTACCCAGCTGAGAGGGAGGCAGACAAACACTATAATACTCGTCAGTCGTTGCTCGACTTGCCCATACCTGATTCCCAACTGGTAAAAAAATCATTGATATATGAAGGTGAAAAACTATTTCATCACCTCCCAATAGAAATAAGAAAGCTTAGATGCTACAAGAGTTTTAGGAAGCAGGTTAAGGCTTTTTTGGTTGATAAAGCATACTAGCCTTGAAGAATATTTTAATGAAAGGATAGTAACTAGTTGAGGAATGTTGGACCTTGGTTTTTGACAGCGAGTGACAATGTATGTTTGGTATCGTTTCTTTTTTAATAAGCTAACGTTTATATGTAAGAAAAGCGATTGTCATTTTTTTCTCTATACTGTTGCATTGCATATTGTACGAAATTTTATACTTTTGTCTGTGTTTCATGCGTAGGTAAAGACTTGTTTTTTCTGTTTTTTGTTCCTTTCTCTGTTTCAACTGAGTACTTAATGTTTTAATTTGTAATTTTAGTGTTAGTTTTTAAACTTTAATTTAGTAAGGCTTGGTCAGCAATATTTTGTTTTAAGACAATAAGCTATTTTTTGACTTTTGACTAATATAATATAATGAATATTTCTTTGATTTCACTAAGATGTTCATCTGAATCAGAGACATCTTCAGTAAGGGGTTCCACTCGAAAAACTTTTTCTGATTCTGAGTAAGATGTACTTATAGTATTATTCTACTTTCCCTTTTCAAGTTCTTATTGCCTTGGGTTCCCGACTTTTTCTTTTGTGTCTTTCTCAGGGACATTCCCATAGCTTTTAATACTTGATCCACAAACGTCCCTGCTTCTCTGAGAAGAACCAAATTAAAGTTAAGCCCTGGATAATCTCTTAATTGTAGCAAATTGCAGGTGCTAAACTCTAATGTGACGAAATTCTTTGTCTTCTTTTGGCAAGTCGGATTCGAGAGAGGTTCCAAGATTCATGTTTTCAATTTTTATAATTTACAATATTGTCATCTTGATTGTCATACTTTAGGTCGGTTCTCAGAGAAATCACAAACCAGTTAGAGCGAATTTCATTGGTTGAAAATAGTCAGAAAACTGGTTGTTGTCGATTTGCACCAATCAAAAACGCTCTGACTGGTTTGTGATTTCTGTGAGAACAGACCTAATCTTCATCTCGTTCTTCTTCAAGTTCTAAACTCTCCATAGTCTCAGGTTCAGTTATTGGGTAACTCGTTGGGATATCAAATTCATTGCAAATTGTCTAGCTCTCAATGTTGCCTAAAACTTAGTCTCAAAGGCAAATACACAACTGACTGGTACGCTGTATCGTTTAAAATGTATGATATGCGATTTTTGGGTTAGAATGACATGATATTCCCAGCGATTACCACATGATTCTCAGCGATTGCCAATGGATTCCTATGTGATTCCCATCAAGTCCTAGGAGATTCCTAGCGATTTCAAGGTTGTTCCCAGGGACTCCTAAGTGATTTCGATGTATAAAGGATTCATTATTATTATTATTATTATTATTATTATTATTATTATTATTAATATTATTATTACAATATTATTACAATATCATTACAATACATTTAGGCATACAATATCTCTACCTAATCCAAAGCTTTCATTGTATAAATTAGCCCCTAGATGCGGTAACATCCGTATGGGCGAACAAAAGTTATACATAAAAAAATGTTATTTAAATAATGCGAAAATAAAACATCAAGACAATATAATTATTTGAGAAGAACGCTATAGAACTTCCTACTTTTGATTTAGCTCTCCATAATCTTAACAAATTCACCATAATGCTCTACTATGTATGTTTTTGTCAATTTAGAAAAAGAATTTATGTTTCTAGCTTTTATATTATTTGGTAATAGGTTGTATAATTTGGAACCCAAGAAAGTAATGGATTTTTTACAAAATTCACTGTAACATCTAGGAATGACTAGATGTTTGTTTGTATTTATTCTAGTGCCATGACTATGATTCACAACTGTATTATTCTTATTATGCCTGTGAATATGACAACATGTCATGTAAAAAAATAGTGTTTTTATATTTATAATAACTTTGTTATATAGTAGCTGTGTAGGATATAATATATTTCTTTTGTGGATTATTTTCAATATTCTATTTTGCAAAATCTGCAATGGCTTTAATGAGTTATTATACAAACTTCCCCATTTTACTATTCCATAGCGTAATATGGATTCAACCAAGGCCTGATACAGAGAAATCAGTATTTTCACCCCAAGCATCTGCCTCGAGATCTTCTTTAATGTATAAAATTTATATACCAGATACTTTAGCTTTTGAATCAGATAAGTTACATGATATGTTTGTTCCATTTCAAGTTTTGATCAACCACAAATAACTATGTTACTTCCAAAAAAATGATTTCCACTATCTCATCGGATAAGGGGTACTCTGTATATGTACTTAAATGGGTAAATGATTATTTTAGAAACCGCAACTAAAATGTAAATAAACAATTTTTTGGTGTACCACAAGATAGTATTTTAAGACCTCTGCTTTTTATATTATACCGGGTATTATACATAATGACAGGAAATCTCATTTAAAAAGAGGTATAGTATTTACAGTCAGTCGAAACAAGGTAAAGGTAAATTACAACTGGTGACTGAATATTTTCATAAGAAATGCACTAGCCAGCCACCAGTTGCAAATTACCTTCACCTTGTCTCAACTGACTGTAAATACTATACCTAAAATGCAAAATTTTGTCAGAGATACCTTGATTTTTGTTTCAGGTAAATCATATTATAGTCTGATTTTGTAGCAGCTTCAAATTCTAAACTGCAAGTAATTTTTAATTGGCTACCTAAATGTAAACAAATTAAAAATGCATCAAAAACCAAATGTATGTTTTCCTATAGGAAATTATAAACAAACATAAAACAGATTTGAATATTTTTATCTCGATTTTTTATAAATTAAATTTAGGCCAATCATTGGAATTTGTTAACTCATATACCTAAATATTTAGGTAGGTATTCACTTCGATTGGTAGTAATTAATGTCAATTCTAGCTGTATGCATACACAAGGCATTTTAAGTAATTTAGTGGCGTGAAAGAGTTTCATATAGCTTCCAAGGACAAAGACTTAGGAAGGAGACACTTTTGAATGATTTCTGCCTCTTGAAACTCTGATAATTATTATTTTTGACTTTTCAAAGCAGTTCTCAACTTCCAGAGATCAAAGAAATTGAGAAAAATTGCTATTCAAGAAGACCTTCTGAGTCGGGGTTGGCAAAAACCCGGGTTTTTGAAAATTTCCATTGGATTTTTGGGTTTTTGCAACATATTGTAATACCTAGTTTTTGTGTTTTTTTAGGTTTTTTGTTTTTAGTTAACTACACAAAATTGTATACCAGAATACAATATTTATTCATGCCAAAATACATTACAAAAATGTTTACACTCGGCAAGTTTTTCATCCAATGCAGAACAATTATTTACTGAACAATTACAGAAGAAAATATATAAATAAACAAATAAATACAAATATTGAGGCATCTAATTAATATCATTTACAATTTTGACTACATTTTTATGATGAGACATCTTGTTCCTTCAAGAATGCCTGAGAAATCATTGCTACAGAATGGAATAAAAGCACTTCTTGATTAGGTGTCTCTTCACCAATAACTTGAAATACATATTTTGCAGGTAACACCTTTATAGGAGGTGGCAATAAATTGAACATATTTGGTGCATGGAAAGATATGGCAGTTTTCGTTCTATGAATTTTATGATAATCTATATACAGGGTGGTCATTTTAAAACTTACCACCCCCATTATCACGGAGTTGAAAATTCGTCAACAACAATTTGAAGGGGGATGAGTTTTTATGCAAAATTCACCTCCCTCCTTTCAACCCCCCAGCGCCCAGAGCCACGCTGTAGAAAATCTTAAATGGGAATGGGGGTCAAGTTCAATTTCAATTTCAATTTTGAAGTGATACATCATTTTGGAGGGTTTTTAATTCCATACATTTTGGTACTAAATTTTAATCCCTAAGTTCAAGTGTTTTGGAAATAAAGATTAAAGTGTGGTAACGTTACCGCGGTAACGGTAATTTTGGTAATTTAACCCGACAAATTTCTTTACCGGTAATTTTCAGAAATGCTTCCTGAATGAAATCACATTGAGGCGACAATCCTTTTCAAGCATTATTCTCCATCTTGTTGTGAATTTGTAACGCGCTTTCAGGGTTGGCATAAACGAATACCTAACAAGTGCGGAAAGTGGTGCTTTTCCCTACGCGACGGCAGTTGGCAAGCTGTCAAGGGTGGAAAAGACATTTTCCGCAGAAGTTAGGTTTAATGTTTTTCCACAAGTATTTTTGTTCATCTAATTTATCAAAAATTGATCAAAAAATCTGTGTAAGATCTAAATTTTCTCAATGGAAAATAGTATCTATAGATAGAAATTTGATTTGAAGTAAAAAATAAGTAGTACCTATATTTTGAATTAAAACATTGTGCTCGGTGTGCCCGGTGGGTTTTTGTTGAGTTCTGAGTTAGAGATTTTTACTTGGAATGTCAAAGATCTTAGAACACAAAAACCCTACAGAAGCACAACTCTTGCAAAAACCCAAAAAAACCAATAGAAATTTTCAAAAACCTCTAAAAAAATCTCTTATGCTATCCTTATTCAGCTCATTTTATTTATTTGTTTTCTTTTTGCCCTTCAAAAGTAGGTATTTACTTTACTAAGTATTTAGTTTAGCACCAGATTAGGAGAATTTATTTCTATTTTATTTTTGCCTGATTTTCTTTGCTCGTTTTTCGTTTATTTGTTTAAATATTGTAATATTTCTATGTATGAGGTTATGTTTTACAACAAACAATATTATAATAAATGGGTGTTTAGGTAAAAAAATCCTGAAAATCTATAATCCTTGAACGTATAGGTATAGTATATAGTCATAATTGTTTTTTTCACGAATCATGAAATATTTCCAAAATTACCAAAATAACTGCAAAATTACCGGTAAATTACCACCGAGAAAGAACAAATGAAAATTACCGGTAAACTTCAATCTCTATTTGGAAATATTTCAGGTATAGTTTTTCCAAAGTCAATTGGAACAAGGTGAACATAAATTATAATTGGTGGCGTGGCTGACTAGTGGCAGTGTATTTCTTATGGAAATTACCAGTGACCAGTCAGCCACCAGTTGGTACCTTGTTCCAATTGAGTTTGGAAATACTATACTATCGATATTGGCCTGTAGTTGTCAATGACATTGACAGAACCCTTTTTGTGAATGGGCACTATATTTGTTCCAACTTTCAACAGACTTGCACTTTTTGATTTGAGAAGCTTCAAAATTGAATTTATCCATCGAACATTGAAAATTTTCCAAAAATGACATAGAGACAGTTTTTTCCTCGCAGCTTCTTTAATTTTCATCCGATTTCAACGCAATTAGGCTCTTATTAAAACCAGTTAAATTCTCTACAAATCTGTTAATTAGGATTTCACTTTACTTGATACAAAGCCCAAAGTTCACTGGGTTTTGTGATGGTGACGAGATTTTTGCTTGGGTTTTTATCAATGCCAATCATGTTCTGAGGACTGGAGTATAATGTATTGATTATTTGCTTCATTTTGTTCTTGGAAAGTAAGTTTTGCATGATTAAAGGCCTTTTACAGGAATTTTATTTATTTTTATTTTTATTTATTTCCTTCGACTTTGAAAAAAACGCATTTATTATCATTAAATATTGTTAAAATTTCAATTTAAGAGTTTGTAATAATAATAGTCTACGTGCAAGCTTCTAGATCAAGTTATGACCAAAAACAGTTTTGACACTCAACCATTGAATTTAATGGAAAACTTTCTACAAAAAAATTCAAACCTATATTAATATTCATTTAAATTCGATTGCCACATCTTCTAGGTATAATCTTTTAACATACTTATGCTAATTAAATGTATATAATACAAGTCATATGCATGAGTATTTCAATATGAGAAAGAAAAACAATTATTTGTATTTATATCAGGCATTGAACTTACCCACATCTCATGTTACTTTTACAGTTATTTGTAATAAATGTAAGCAGCTTTATCTATGAGTTACAGTAATATTCTACCTCCATCAAGTTAATTAGCATCTCGATTAACATTAGGTACCAATTGTATTTAATAACATTTTAATTGATAAGGTCCACGTGCCACCTGACAATAATGAAACAACAAATTTATTTCTTTCAGAACTAATTCACTATATGAGTCAAAACCTGTATCAAAATCAACGTGTAGGGTAAATTGGATAATTTTTCTCTCGGTTTTTTGTTTTTCAAAATGTGGCAAAAATTGCATTTTCGAGTTTTTGGAAAATACTTTAAGGGGCCAGAGATACTTTAAACTTGCGGACTTTATAGATTAGCGCTTTCTATAAAGCAAAATAAACTACTATTCGTTTCACTGCCAATTTACCATTATTTCCTTCAATGCAATTATTGATAATGCTAAATATTTGTTTAAATTTCTTATAGTCCAGAAATGTCTGGACCAAAAACCCATCCCAAGTCCAAACAGACTCTGATAAGACGCAACACGGTGAGCACCATGTATGACGAGCTGATGGCCAAAGCTGACAAAACTGATTCTGAACAAGGTCAGTTTATAATTATTTTTTAATATTATATTTATTATGATTATTTTTCAGCAAAAAAAACTAATGTAAACTTTCATCTCATTATCATCATTAGCACTCACCATTAAACAATTACAAAATGCATTAAATAATATACAAAGGTTATTGGGTAGATGTTGTAAATAATATTGCCATGATCGGAAAGGTATACCTACTTTAACTAATCCTGATTATCATTATTTATCAATATTTCTATAAATCATTATTATTGTCAATTTTAATGTGAGTGTAAAAATTTGTTTGTCATTGAAACTAATATTGAAAAAACAGTGTTTGTACAGTGGACATTTTAGGTTTTAGCAGTGGCGGTAGTAAAAGGTTGAACAAGAGACAAATGAAATTGCTCAGAGGCTCAGAACGCGATTTAAAACTGGACATTGTCAGTGCTCAGGCTTCGGCCCAAGTCGGGCCGGCTCAATCCAAAAAATCCGGATTCGGAGTTTGGCAGAGTTATGGACACGCGCCTAAAACTCCCAGTTATTCGATTGAAAGCTGCAAAAGGTAAGCAACAATTACTTGCGAGCAAATGAAAATATCATTCATATAAACTTACTAATAAAAATCGTTGTTAGGTTTATGTGTTTGATGGGCAGGACCCTTCCTTGTCACAAACAAGCGTTCAAAGATTGTAAAGAAGACAACAAAAAAAAAGACTCTCAAGAAGTTTCCGCTGAAGAGTGTCCACAAAGTAGAGTGGAGTTTTACCAAACTTTAAGCGCACTGATTAGAATGGGTGTCGGTAAAGAAGATCGAAATCCGAGAAGAGGCATGAGCCGCGAAGAATCCCTCTGGCAAACCGAACTAAAAGATCTCATATGGCTGGAACTGCAAGCCTACCACGCAGACAGAACTCCAATGGAAGAAGACGAGTATTTGTGCTTAGCTCGGCAATCTGTGGACTCACTACTGGAAAATATTATGAGTTATAAGTTTAAGCGACACCACAGAAAATATAGCTCTCAAAATAGTGATAGTGGCGTGGAAGACGATTGTGTTGGGTGCAATTCGATTTTTTGTTGTTCGTGCATGGAGGCTCAAAATGAAGCACTCAGGGAAATTGGAGGTTTAATGAAGAGGCTTGAAGATGCGGAATCTTTGTTTCCTTCTTCCAAAGCTTTTGCGGAGCTGTATCCTGTGTATAATAGTCCAGAGTTTGTTAGCAGGGTGAGTAATTTGAGTCTTAAAATTTAGTTTTAATCAAGATTGGATTAAATATAATTAACCCAATGTTTTGCATTTCATTTTGCTGCTTCAGGAATGGAAAAGAATAGATTATTTTCTTTTATGTAACCATAATAAAGGGTTCTGCTATTCGTTTTTTGAGAACCTGGGTGTAGCATTTTTGGTATTCCCAGATAATATTTTTTATCCCTTTTCCAAGTAAAATATTCCAATTTTTGCCCTGTTATCTTTTTACTGGAATTTGGCCAATTTTTCCTGACAAAAATCAGATTTCATCCAAAAAAAATCAACATCACAGTTGTTTGAAGCACTATTCTAGAGATTTGCAAGATGTTAAAGACGAGAGGGTAGTCACTTGCGAATTTTTAGGATTGAAAAACTCTATTTGTGGAGATCTTCTTGGAACTCTATAGATATTCTTGGATATCCTTGGATCTCCAGGCATACCCTTGGATCTTCATGGAGATCATTTGGATTTCTGTGGATCTCGGTGAATCTCCTCTGCACCTCCAACTCAGGGGTGGTAAAAAGCCAGATTCTTGAAAATTGCTATTGGGTTTTGGAATCCAAGGATTTTGGCGGGTTATTGTGATAGTTTTTTTTGTTTTTGTAGGGTTTTTGTGTTTACTTAGCTAGACCAAATTGTATAGCCTTCAAGATTGAAGTTATCGAACATTGAAAAATTTCCAAAAATGACACTGAGGCAGTTTTTGTCTCACAGTTCCGTCAATTTTTATCTGATTTCAATGTAATTAGGCTCTAATTGAAGCCAATTAAATTCACTACAACCCTATTAATCGAGATTTCAATTTGGTTCCAACAGTTTTGCACCTGGGAAGCTTCAAAATTGAATTTATCGAACATTGGAAATTTTCCAAAAATGACAATGAGACAGTTTTTGTCTCACAGCTCCGTTAATTTTCATCCGATTTCAATGTAATTGATCTCTAATTGAAGCCAATTAAATTCTCTATAAACCCATCAATTGAGATTTCAATTTTGCTTCAACAGTTTTGCACCTGAGAAACTTCAAAATTGAATTTATCGAACATTGAAAATTTTCCAAAAATGACAATGAGGCAGTTTTTGTCTCACAGTTCTGTCAATTTTTATCTGATTTCAATGTAATTAGGCTCTAATTGAAGCCAATTAAATTCACTACAACCCTATTAATTGAGATTTTAATTTGGTTCCATCATTTCTGCACCTGGGAAGCTTCAAAATTGAATTTATCGAACATTGAAAATTTTCCAAAAATGACACTGAGACAGTTTTTGCCTCACAGCTCCGTTAATAAAAAAATGACAATGAGGCAGTTTTTGTCTCACAGTTCTGTCAATTTTTATCTGATTTCAATGTAATTAGGCTCTAATTGAAACCAATTAAATTCACTACAACCCTATTAATCGAGATTTCAATTTGGTTCCAACAGTTTTGCACCTGGGAAGCTTCAAAATTGAATTTATCGAACATTGAAAATTTTCCAAAAATGACACTGAGACTGTTTTTGCCTCACAGCTCCGTTAATTTTCATCCGATTTCTAATTGAAGCCAATTAAATTCTCTATAAACCCATCAATTGAGATTTCAATTTTGCTTCAACAGTTTTGCACCTGAGAAACTTCAAAATTGAATTTATCGAACATTGAAAATTTTCCAAAAATGACACTGAGACTGTTTTTGCCTCACAGCTCCGTTAATTTTCATCCGATTTCTAATTGAAGCCAATTAAATTCTCTATAAACCCATCAATTGAGATTTCAATTTTGCTTCAACAGTTTTGCACCTGAGAAACTTCAAAATTGAATTTATCGAACATTGAAAATTTTCCAAAAATGACAATGAGGCAGTTTTTGTCTCACAGTTCTGTCAATTTTTATCTGATTTCAATGTAATTAGGCTCTAATTGAAACCAATTAAATTCACTACAACCCTATTAATCGAGATTTCAATTTGGTTCAAACAGTTTTGCACCTGGGAAGCTTCAAAATTGAATTTATCGAACATTGAAAATTTTCCAAAAATGACACTGAGACAGTTTTTGCCTCACAGCTCCGTTAATAAAAAAATGACAATGAGGCAGTTTTTGTCTCACAGTTCTGTCAATTTTTATCTGATTTCAATGTAATTAGGCTCTAATTGAAACCAATTAAATTCACTACAACCCTATTAATCGAGATTTCAATTTGGTTCCAACAGTTTTGCACCTGGGAAGCTTCAAAATTGAATTTATCGAACATTGGAAATTTTCCAAAAATGACAATGAGACAGTTTTTGCCTCACAGCTCCGTTAATTTTCATCCGATTTCTAATTGAAGCCAATTAAATTCTCTATAAACCCATCAATTGAGATTTCAATTTTGCTTCAACAGTTTTGCACCTGAGAAACTTCAAAATTGAATTTATCGAACATTGAAAATTTTCCAAAAATGACACTGAGACTGTTTTTGCCTCACAGCTCCGTTAATTTTCATCCGATTTCTAATTGAAGCCAATTAAATTCTCTATAAACCCATCAATTGAGATTTCAATTTTGCTTCAACAGTTTTGCACCTGAGAAACTTCAAAATTGAATTTATCGAACATTGAAAATTTTCCAAAAATGACACTGAGACTGTTTTTGCCTCACAGCTCCGTTAATTTTTATCCGAATTCAATGTCATTAAGCTATAATTAAAGCCAATTAAATTCTCTACAACCCTAATAATCAAGATTTCAATTTGGTTTCAACAGTTCTGTACCTGAGAAGCTTCAAAATTGAAATTATCGAACATTGAAAATTTTCCAAAAATGACACTGAGACAGTTTTTGCCTCACAGCTCCGTTAATTTTTATCCGATTTCAATGTCATTGAGCTATAATTAAAGCCAATTAAATTCTTTACAACCCTAATAATCAAGATTTCAATTTGGTTCAACAGTTCTGTACCTGAGAAGCTTCAAAATTGAAATTATCGAACATTGAAAATTTTCCAAAAATGACACTGAGACTGTTTTTGCCTCACAGCTCCGTTAATTTTTATCCGATTTCAATGTCATTAAGCTATAATTAAAGCCAATTAAATTCTCTACAACCCTAATAATCAAGATTTCAATTTGGTTTCAACAGTTCTGTACCTGAGAAGCTTCAAAATTGAAATTATCGAACATTGAAAATTTTTCAAAAATGACACTGAGACAGTTTTTGCCTCACAGCTCCGTTAATTTTTATCCGATTTCAATGTCATTAAGCTATAATTAAAGCCAATTAAATTCTCTACAACCCTAATAATCAAGATTTCAATTTGGTTTCAACAGTTCTGTACCTGAGAAGTTTCAAAATTGAAATTATCGAACATTGAAAATTTTCCAAAAATGACACTGAGACAGTTTTTGCCTCACAGCTCCGTTAATTTTTATCCGATTTCAATGTCATTGAGCTATAATTAAAGCCAATTAAATTCTTTACAACCCTAATAATCAAGATTTCAATTTGGTTCAACAGTTCTGTACCTGAGAAGCTTCAAAATTGAAATTATCGAACATTGAAAATTTTCCAAAAATGACACTGAGACTGTTTTTGCCTCACAGCTCCGTTAATTTTTATCCGATTTCAATGTCATTAAGCTATAATTAAAGCCAATTAAATTCTCTACAACCCTAATAATCAAGATTTCAATTTGGTTTCAACAGTTCTGTACCTGAGAAGCTTCAAAATTGAAATTATCGAACATTGAAAATTTTTCAAAAATGACACTGAGACAGTTTTTGCCTCACAGCTCCGTTAATTTTTATCCGATTTCAATGTCATTAAGCTATAATTAAAGCCAATTAAATTCTCTACAACCCTAATAATCAAGATTTCAATTTGGTTTCAACAGTTCTGTACCTGAGAAGTTTCAAAATTGAAATTATCGAACATTGAAAATTTTCCAAAAATGACACTGAGACAGTTTTTGCCTCACAGCTCCGTTAATTTTTATCCGATTTCAATGTCATTGAGCTATAATTAAAGCCAATTAAATTCTCTACAACCCTAATAATCAAGATTTCCATTTGGTTTCAACAGTTCTGTACCTGAGAAGCTTCAAAATTGAAATTATCGAACATTGAAAATTTTCCAAAAATGACACTGAGACAGTTTTTGCCTCACAGCTCTGTTAATTTACATCCGATTTCAATGTAATTGAGCTCTAATTAAAGCCAATTAAATTCTCTATACCGGATCTCTAGTGAATCTTCACAATTTCCCTACCGGATATCCAGGGATTTCCACAGATCTCCATCTCCTAGGATAGAAGATTTCCACAAAATTTACCCTCTCGGTTAAAAATAATTTAAGCAGGAACTCAAATTATGTTGAAATAATCCAATCTTTCATAACTAATTTTAGTTGAAAATATTCAAAATTCCTTCCAGGTTAAAGCTATAAGTTTGTGGTTCAACATGACCGAAATGCAAAGACTGAAATTGAACATCCTCGCTCGCTTGGTGCTCTATTTGGATCCGAAATCCGGAAATTGGCCTATCATGTCCGACGAAGTCTCGTCCGGGTCTTCTTCTGATAGTAACAACAGTATTGGTTCCTCTATGGACGGAAGTATGCTTATCAAAAACGATATGTACAATATCGTACCTCTGGCTCTATTTATATCGAAAAAAGACCACAACAATGTTTCACCTTATAGAAGATATATTGAAAATGTACTTAAAACAAGAGCTCTCTCGAAAAGTGTATCTTTTTTGGAGTTGTTGCATAACAATGTTTTGCATAAGGTGCATATGACTTTGGCAAAGCCAGATTTTATGGGAATATTTTCCAAAACAGTCTGTGATGATCAAGAAGAAGAACTGTTACGCTATGGCAGTTGGAGTCCGGAAGCTAAAAGTCTGGATTTGCCTTCTTACAGGTCAATGTTTTTGTTTTTGATGTTTGTGCCATTGGAAGTTATCAAAGAGTATTTGCATATGAGGCTGGAACAGAAACCTGAAAATCCTTCACCGTTGAGTGTAAGACAACTTATGAGAGAACTTAAAGAAGGATTGAAAATTGCTGCACTTGAACGGAATAGAATTAATAAATATATTGTTGCAGTAGAATCAGGAGGAGAAAGTCTTCCAGATTTTCAATATAAAATTTTGGATGATTTTCAAAATTGTATGGTCAAAGTGTTTAAGGATTACTTGGAATATTTAGAGCATTGGGTGTCTTTTAGTCGCAACACCTTTCACAAGAATCTGTTGGAAGAAGAATATTATTTTTCATTGTCGGTGGTGAATAATATCGAAAAAGGAAACGAATTGTTGGCTAGTAAATATGCAAAAATTTTGGGCAGTATTTTAGAGAGGATCGCTACACGGTTGATGCAAAAAATTGATGAATTTTTGCACGAGATTAGTAAGGAAGATGTAAATACTTTGAAGTAAGTAAATCATTCAACTATGCGAAAATAAAAACATAATGTGTTTTTCAAATGCTTGCTCGAACTTTGCTCTTCAATGTTTAGTAAACAACATAAAAAATGGACAGGAAATATTAAACGAGTTTTCTATTATAGGCAAACAATGTTTAATGTGTGCAGGGAGCTGCAAATCTTTTTCAATGACGAAAGAGAGATGACTATGAAAACTATGGCTTTTACAACCTTAATTAAAAAAGAAAGTTTTAAATATATTACTAAGGAAGACATGATTTTTGTAAAGGTAATTCTGAAACAGTTAAAGAATATTGTTTTACAATTCAATTTTTTTCAGAATTCTATAGTAGCATTTAAATGTTTAATACCCAAAGCCATAGCAAAAGTACAAAGTTTCTTTGATTACACAACAATTGAAGCTTTTGACGAATCGGACAGACTTGCTTTGGCTGCAAGAATAAGAGAAATTTTATTGCAAATTTATAGATTTGGATTTGAGGTGAGGCATACCCTTAAAAAAACCTACTTATTTTAATTATTTCTTAACTAGTTCTACAAAGAAGTCACAGATGGAGTATCATCAGAATTTCGTGCCAAAGTCGTTTACAGTATGGTCCATTTCGCTAAACTTTGGATGTCTTTTGTAACAGACAGGTGCGAAAGAGGTCGAGGAATGCGTCCCAGATGGGCCACCCAAGGCATGGAGTTTCTACTGACAGTAACCGAGCCGGCAAATACTCGATATTTATCCGAAGAAGAATTTGAAGATTTAAAAAAAACAATGGACGAATGTATTTCGCATTTAATCGGTACTACCGCACCTTCAACTCCTGAAAGTGGATTTCATTCGGCTTCGCCTAGGCCGTCTCTGGAGCATATTAGAATCAAATCCAGAGGTTCCTCGCCCAGTCCTAGGCCCACTTATAAAAGCCAAAGATCGGCACCTACTAGAAAAACTAGCATGGAACAACAATCTCCAAACAACGACACTTTGGATCATATTAATTTGAGTTTTAATAATTTAAGTTTGAAGAGAGATAAGAGTTCTAGTTTGGTTAGGATTAAGTTGCCGCCAAAAACTCATGAAGAACGCGTATTGGATGCCATAGAACATTTAGAACATAAAATTGATGAAAAGTTGCACAAAGAGCAACTGATTGGGAAAATTTTACAGTGCAATAATGAGAAAAAGAATCTAGTAGTCAGGAAGAATGTGACTTTTTCATGGCAGAGAGGCATTAAAATCGGCCAGGGCCGTTTTGGTAAAGTATACACTGCTGTTAATAATAAAACCGGTGAAATGATGGCTGTTAAGGAAATTGCTATTCAGCATAATGATACTGTAACTATTAAACGGATTTCAAGTGAAATGAAAATTTTGGAAGGAATTTCACATAATAATTTAGTCAAGTATTATGGCGTAGAGGTTTATACAGTAAGTTACATTACAAAAAAAAATTATTTGTTTTATAGGATTTATTTTCAGGATAAAATGCTATTGTTTATGGAATTTTGTTCAGAAGGCACCCTGGAAAATCTTATAATAGCGGCAGAAAACGGATTGCCTGAATTACTAGTCCGCAAATATACTTTTCAATTATTAAGCGGAGTAGCTTGTCTTCATGAGCACGGCATTGTACATAGAGACATTAAACCTGCAAATATATTTTTGACTCAGGAAGGTAACTGTTTGAAAATTGGCGATTTCGGTTGCGCTGCTAAAATTAAAAGCCACACGACGATGCCTGGAGAGTTACAAGGCTTTGTAGGAACACAAGGTAAGAATTATTTTTTTAATGGAACACCCTGTATATCGCAACGTCAAAAAAATCTCAGGAACTATAAGTGCAAATGAGCTCCCCAAATTGCTTAACACGATGTTATCTCAGGAACTATACGTGCAAATGAGCTGAAATTTTCAGGGATTGTAGTCCTTTGTAAGGGATAAAATTCAGTCAAAGTTTCAGCTTTCTATCTATAATAGAAAAAAAGTTATGATCTTTCAAAGTTTTCCAAAATCTAAATCATAAGGTAGCTACCTTCTTACTAAAACGATGAAATTTCAATTTTTTTTTTGTCGAGATTTTGTATCCTAATGGTCAATCAACATATCCCAAACTCCATACCCTAAATTATTCTCAAATTTGAAACCGAAATCTATGGAAAAAGGCACACAGAAAAATTGAAAAATTGATAAATCACCCCAAATTGCTTAACACGATTTTATCTCAGGAACTATAAGTGCAAATGAGCTGAAATTTTCAGGGATTGTAGTCCTTTGTAAGGGATAAAATTCAGTCAAAGTTTCAGCTTTCTATCTATAATAGAAAAAAAGTTATGATCTTTCAAAGTTTTCCAAAATCTAAATCATAAGGTAGCTACCTTCTTACTAAAACGATGAAATTTCAATTTTTTTTTTTGTCGAGATTTTGTATCCTAATGGTCAATCAACATATCCCAAACTCCATACCCTAAATTATTCTCAAATTTGAAACCGAAATCTATGGAAAAAGGCACACAGAAAAATTGAAAAATTGATAAATCACCCCAAATTGCTTAACACGATTTTATCTCAGGAACTATAAGTGCAAATGAGCTGAAATTTTCAGGGATTGTAGTCTTTTGTAAGGGATAAAATTCAGTCAAAGTTTCAGCTTTCTATCTATAATAGAAAAAAAGTTATGATCTTTCAAAGTTTTCCAAAATCTAAATCATAAGGTAGCTACCTTCTTACTAAAACGATGAAATTTCAATTTTTTTTTTGTCGAGATTTTGTATCCTAATGGTCAATCAACATATCCCAAACTCCATACCCTAAATTATTCTCAAATTTGAAACCGAAATCTATGGAAAAAGGCACTCAGAAAAATTGAAAAATTGATAAATGACCCCAAATTGCTTAACACGATTTTATCTCAGGAACTATAAGTGCAAATGAGGTGAAATTTTCAGGGATTGTAGTCCTTTGTAAGGGATAAAATTCAGTCAAAGTTTCAGCTTTCTATCTATAATAGAAAAAAAGTTATGATCTTTCAAAGTTTTCCAAAATCTAAATCATAAGGTAGCTACCTTCTTACTAAAACGATGAAATTTCAATTTTTTTTTTGTCGAGATTTTGTATCCTAATGGTCAATCAACATATCCCAAACTCCATACCCTAAATTATTCTCAAATTTGAAACCGAAATCTATGGAAAAAGGCACACAGAAAAATTGAAAAATTGATAAATCACCCCAAATTGCTTAACACGATTTTATCTCAGGAACTATAAGTGCAAATGAGCTGAAATTTTCAGGGATTGTAGTCCTTTGTAAGGGATAAAATTCAGTCAAAGTTTCAGCTTTCTATCTATAATAGAAAAAAAGTTATGATCTTTCAAAGTTTTCCAAAATCTAAATCATAAGGTAGCTACCTTCTTACTAAAACGATGAAATTTCAATTTTTTTTTTGTCGAGATTTTGTATCCTAATGGTCAATCAACATATCCCAAACTCCATACCCTAAATTATTCTCAAATTTGAAACCGAAATCTATGGAAAAAGGCACACAGAAAAATTGAAAAATTGATAAATCACCCCAAATTGCTTAACACGATTTTATCTCAGGAACTATAAGTGCAAATGAGGTGAAATTTTCAGGGATTGTAGTCCTTTGTAAGGGATAAAATTCAGTCAAAGTTTCAGCTTTCTATCTATAATAGAAAAAAAGTTATGATCTTTCAAAGTTTTCCAAAATCTAAATCATAAGGTAGCTACCTTCTTACTAAAACGATGAAATTTCAATTTTTTTTTTGTCGAGATTTTGTATCCTAATGGTCAATCAACATATCCCAAACTCCATACCCTAAATTATTCTCAAATTTGAAACCGAAATCTATGGAAAAAGGCACTCAGAAAAATTGAAAAATTGATAAATGACCCCAAATTGCTTAACACGATTTTATCTCAGGAACTATAAGTGCAAATGAGGTGAAATTTTCAGGGATTGTAGTCCTTTGTAAGGGATAAAATTCAGTCAAAGTTTCAGCTTTCTATCTATAATAGAAAAAAAGTTATGATCTTTCAAAGTTTTCCAAAATCTAAATCATAAGGTAGCTACCTTCTTACTAAAACGATGAAATTTCAATTTTTTTTTTGTCGAGATTTTGTATCCTAATGGTCAATCAACATATCCCAAACTCCATACCCTAAATTATTCTCAAATTTGAAACCGAAATCTATGGAAAAAGGCACTCAGAAAAATTGAAAAATTGATAAATGACCCCAAATTGCTTAACACGATTTTATCTCAGGAACTATAAGTGCAAATGAGGTGAAATTTTCAGGGATTGTAGTCCTTTGTAAGGGATAAAATTCAGTCAAAGTTTCAGCTTTCTATCTATAATAGAAAAAAAGTTATGATCTTTCAAAGTTTTCCAAAATCTAAATCATAAGGTAGCTACCTTCTTACTAAAACGATGAAATTTCAATTTTTTTTTTGTCGAGATTTTGTATCCTAATGGTCAATCAACATATCCCAAACTCCATACCCTAAATTATTCTCAAATTTGAAACCGAAATCTATGGAAAAAGGCACTCAGAAAAATTGAAAAATTGATAAATGACCCCAAATTGCTTAACACGATTTTATCTCAGGAACTATAAGTGCAAATGAGGTGAAATTTTCAGGGATTGTAGTCCTTTGTAAGGGATAAAATTCAGTCAAAGTTTCAGCTTTCTATCTATAATAGAAAAAAAGTTATGATCTTTCAAAGTTTTCCAAAATCTAAATCATAAGGTAGCTACCTTCTTACTAAAACGATGAAATTTCAATTTTTTTTTTGTCGAGATTTTGTATCCTAATGGTCAATCAACATATCCCAAACTCCATACCCTAAATTATTCTCAAATTTGAAACCGAAATCTATGGAAAAAGGCACTCAGAAAAATTGAAAAATTGATAAATGACCCCAAATTGCTTAACACGATTTTATCTCAGGAACTATAAGTGCAAATGAGGTGAAATTTTCAGGGATTGTAGTCCTTTGTAAGGGATAAAATTCAGTCAAAGTTTCAGCTTTCTATCTATAATAGAAAAAAAGTTATGATCTTTCAAAGTTTTCCAAAATCTAAATCATAAGGTAGCTACCTTCTTACTAAAACGATGAAATTTCAATTTTTTTTTTGTCGAGATTTTGTATCCTAATGGTCAATCAACATATCCCAAACTCCATACCCTAAATTATTCTCAAATTTGAAACCGAAATCTATGGAAAAAGGCACTCAGAAAAATTGAAAAATTGATAAATGACCCCAAATTGCTTAACACGATTTTATCTCAGGAACTATAAGTGCAAATGAGGTGAAATTTTCAGGGATTGTAGTCCTTTGTAAGGGATAAAATTCAGTCAAAGTTTCAGCTTTCTATCTATAATAGAAAAAAAGTTATGATCTTTCAAAGTTTTCCAAAATCTAAATCATAAGGTAGCTACCTTCTTACTAAAACGATGAAATTTCAATTTTTTTTTTGTCGAGATTTTGTATCCTAATGGTCAATCAACATATCCCAAACTCCATACCCTAAATTATTCTCAAATTTGAAACCGAAATCTATGGAAAAAGGCACTCAGAAAAATTGAAAAATTGATAAATGACCCCAAATTGCTTAACACGATTTTATCTCAGGAACTATAAGTGCAAATGAGGTGAAATTTTCAGGGATTGTAGTCCTTTGTAAGGGATAAAATTCAGTCAAAGTTTCAGCTTTCTATCTATAATAGAAAAAAAGTTATGATCTTTCAAAGTTTTCCAAAATCTAAATCATAAGGTAGCTACCTTCTTACTAAAACGATGAAATTTCAATTTTTTTTTTGTCGAGATTTTGTATCCTAATGGTCAATCAACATATCCCAAACTCCATACCCTAAATTATTCTCAAATTTGAAACCGAAATCTATGGAAAAAGGCACTCAGAAAAATTGAAAAATTGATAAATGACCCCAAATTGCTTAACACGATTTTATCTCAGGAACTATAAGTGCAAATGAGGTGAAATTTTCAGGGATTGTAGTCCTTTGTAAGGGATAAAATTCAGTCAAAGTTTCAGCTTTCTATCTATAATAGAAAAAAAGTTATGATCTTTCAAAGTTTTCCAAAATCTAAATCATAAGGTAGCTACCTTCTTACTAAAACGATGAAATTTCAATTTTTTTTTTGTCGAGATTTTGTATCCTAATGGTCAATCAACATATCCCAAACTCCATACCCTAAATTATTCTCAAATTTGAAACCGAAATCTATGGAAAAAGGCAAACAGAAAAATTGAAAAATTGATAAATCACCCCAAATTTCTTAACACGATTTTATCTCAGGAACTATAAGTGCAAATGAGCTGAACTTTTCAGGGATTGTAGTCCTTTGTAAGGGATAAAATTCAGTCAAAGTTTCAGCTTTCTATCTATAATAGAAAAAAAGTTATGATCTTTCAAAATTTTCCAAAATCTAAATCATAAGGTAGCTACCTTCTTACTAAAACGATGAAATTTCAATTTTTTTTTTGTCGAGATTTTGTATCCTAATGGTCAATCAACATATCCCAAACTCCATACCCTAAATTATTCTCAAATTTGAAACCGAAATCTATGGAAAAAGGCACACAGAAAAATTGAAAAATTGATAAATCACCCCAAATTGCTTAACACGATTTTATCTCAGGAACTATAAGTGCAAATGAGCTGAAATTTTCAGGGATTGTAGTCCTTTGTAAGGGATAAAATTCAGTCAAAGTTTTAGCTTTCTATCTATAATAGAAAAAAAGTTATGATCTTTCAAAGTTTTCCAAAATCTAATTCATAAAGTAGCTACCTTCTTACTAAAACGATGAAATTTCAATTTTTTTTTTGTCGAGATTTTGTATCCTAATGGTCAATCAACATATCCCAAACTCCATACCCTAAATTATTCTCAAATTTGAAACCGAAATCTATGGGAAAAGGCACTCAGAAAAATTGAAAAATTGATAAATCACCCCAAATTGCTTAACACGATTTTTAACAAATAAAAATTCAGTGAAACAAATCAATGACGTCAAAAATGTTCCTCGGTTCTTAAACCAGAAGTCATTCATTCAAAAAATTGAATGTGTTATATGAATTAATCTACGACAACCCTTTTTTTCAAGTTTCAAGGTCAAGTATGAATCCTGATGAAGCGGATCTTACCTGTATATATAGTTTCATTTTACCTACAGCTTCATTTTCCAACTCTTAATTAATACATAAAAACTAAGCTAAAGAGATTCATAGTCAAAGAAGAGTGATTTCCAGTAACATATTCCAATTTTCTATTATTTAGCTTATATGGCGCCAGAAGTTTTCACAAAAAACATGAACGAAGGTCACGGAAGAGCCGCGGATATTTGGTCAGTGGGCTGTGTTGTTATCGAAATGGCTTCAGGAAAACGTCCCTGGGCTCAATACGATTCCAACTATCAAATAATGTTCAAAGTAGGCATGGGGCAAAGCCCTGATCCACCCGACGATCTGATTGACGAAGGCTTGGATTTTTTGGATTTGTGTTTCAAGCACGATCCAAAGGAAAGGGCTACAGCTGAGGATTTGTTGACACAAAATTTCGTCAAAGTTGGCGATGAGTTTATTTAAGCCTTAACTTTGTTTTAATTATTGTACCTCAATATTTGCATGTGATATGTTGACTTTTGTACCTTTAGGGGTATAGAAATACGTGTTGAGTTTCTGCCTTTGAAAAATATTTTTGTAGGCAGGAGTGAGTTTGAAAAGTATTGTTGGAGCCTCACTTTATATTAAAGTGAACGCTCTGTTTTACCTATCTTATTGTACATTGGTGTTTTTTTTTTTTAAATTGACTTGTTTGTAAATTTAAAAATTTTAACAAAAGATTTTTATGTATATTATGTGATACAAATTTAAAAATTTAGACATTATTGACTGTTTATTGTTAGATACTATTAGTAGAATAAAACTGAATTTACACAGTAAAAATACTTTTTATTCATTAGCTTTTCCAGATTCAATTATATTACTAGTACTACTATCCAAATATTTCTTGTATTGGTCTTCAGTTAGGAAATCAAGTTTAGCAATCATTTTGTCCATGGATTCAGCTTTAGGTCCAAAACATTGTGGAAAAAGTACCGCAATGTATCCTAATTCTTTATTACTAGAAACAGCCAATTGTGGCTCATTAATTACAAGTTGATTAACTTCTATTAAAGATGCTGGAAGGCAGGCATAAATAGGATATTCCTTATCATCTTCTTTGCATTTAATGTAGCATAAAATCGAGTCTTTCTTCAATTTCTTTGCACCTGCCTTTTTCTTACCGGATATCTTGATTTCTAGCATGTTGGTGCCTTGCACATCAAAACTAATTTTTTCTATAGTCTTTTTAAGGCGAATTATATCGTGGCCTTCTGCAATTGATACCAGCACGAGCCTGTTTGAGTGAAATCTCAGTAGAATATCGTTATTTTCTGTTTTACTAGTGAAGGCGGTGCAATATTTGTTCTCGTAATAGCGCTCGTAATAAGGCTTGAAATTTTCTATTTCTTCAACGGAGACACTGTCTATAATTGGTACTGTGAGTTTTTCAATTTGTGCCGCAATTTCTTTATCATGATCCGATTTCATTTTTATACTTTGTGAGTTGTTTGGAAAGGAAAATTGAAAAATATAAGTATTTTGAAAGTATTAACTTGAGGTTATGATGTGTAATAAATGTTTACATCTAAAACATTTGACTTTATAGAGAGTATATCTATCCTTTTTTTCTAATGCATGTAGACAAAGACAAAAAAGAAGTTGAAATGAATTGAAACAAATTTTGACACATTTCCTTTTTGACAATGACAGCCGAAACAACGTGTTTTCTTTTTAGGTTAGGATTTTTCTTTCCACCATGTTGGTTCTGTTCCTTTAAATTTTAAATTAAATCAATTTTGTATTGTTTATTAACATTTAATAATTCTTAAGTCGATTTAAAATGCAGCACGACGATGTAAGTACTTTTTTTCAGAAACTTCATTAAATTCAACTGAATAAATTTAATTTTAGGTGGTATGGAGTATCATCAACAAATCATTTTGTTCCCATAAAATCAAGTAAGTAAATATTTATTTAATCTTTATTAGTACTAATAATAGACTCTTGTAGCACAAAAACACAAAAAATGTGCAGAAATGAGTATAATTTGACCGGTTTGTGTAACCGATCATCTTGCCCTCTAGCAAACAGCCAATATGCTACTATAAGAGAAGATAAAGGTATTATATACCTTTATATGAAAACTGCTGAAAGGTAATTACATTATTATTTACTTAATTAAATATTTATGCAAAAGAAAAACTAAAGACTTATTAGGAAATTAATAGAATTCGAATTACATTCGATGTACTGTACCTTTAGTATATTCGGTGCCAGTACACTTCACGGACACACAAAATTTGCGTTTTTCTGAATTTTATCAGAAAGAGGGCACTTCAAGTAGTTTATTAAAAAAAATAAAAAATGCTGGTTATCCAGTATTTAAAAAAAAAAACAACTTAAATTGTTGAAAATGTGATATTCGTGATGTTGTCGCTCCGTTCTCCTGATCTCAAATAGAATATCCTCAAATCAAATCAAAATATGCTTTATTGTTTTAAACAAAGTAATGTTGTAAACAAAGCTGAAAAAGGTACGTAATAAAATAAAGAAAATAAATGAATAAATTCAGAACCTACAAAATCAAAAATAGAATAAAGTGTACTTATATGACTTAGTTTACGTAGTCTAAATATATATGAATCATTAAATTACATAATTATAAAATTGAAACACAAACAGTAAACAGTTAATAAAATAATATAAAATCTTACATTTAAAAATAAAGCAGTACATTTACAATTTAACGTCATAGTAAAAAAAAAAAACACACAGCACACAGAACAGTAAAAAGTATCCATAAGCACACCTTTTTTTGCTTAAATCATGGTTAAAATCTTTCATTGAAGTATTCTTGTATATCATAATAGGCCCTCGCAACGAGCAACTTTTTTACCTCCCTCCTAAATCTCCTTTCCTCATAAATCTCTCTAATACTGACAGGCAAATGGTTGAATAGTTGACGTCCATTAAAAACAATAGAGTCATGTACTTGGGAGGTTCTGGGAACAGGTAACAACATTTTATACGTTTGCCTGGTGGCATAAGATGACGAACCTTGTTGGTTCAATGTGTTTCTATACTTTTTATGAATTAGAGATACTGTTTCAAGAATAAACAAAGATGGTAATGTTAAAATATTGTTAGCAACAAAAAGCGGTTTGCATGAATCTCTCAAATTGGCCCTGTTCATGTATCTGATTGCTCTTTTTTGCAAAATGAATACTGTATGCATTAGCTGTTTAGCACAAGAACCCCAAAAACATATTCCATAACGTAGATGGGATTCTATTAATGCAAAATATGCTTGTCTCGTAATATTTTCGTCTAATTCACCTGAAATTATTTTTAAAGCATAACAATTTGATGCCAATTTTTTATTTAGGTTTGCAATGTGGCATTCAAACTTCAATCTACCATCTATATGCAAACCTAAGAACTTACTTTGGGGTGTGCCACTTAATATCTGATTTTCCAAATAAACTGGTCCCAGGTTACATTTGAAAGAAATAATATTAGTTTTTTGAAATATTTAGACACAGCTTATTTGAATCACACCAGTTCTTTATTAAGGACAGGTCGTGGTTAATGGTTTCAACCAAAATATGTTCATCTGTACCACTCCAGAGAATTGTTGCATCATCTGCAAACAATGTAAAGCTTCCAGAAATGTTAAGGTTTGCAATATCATTAATATAGACTAAAAAGAAAATTGGTCCCAGAACCGAACCCTGAGGCACTCCACTATTTAGAGTCTGTTGGTTTGATCTTATCCCATTATAAGATACAGACTGGACTCTATTGGTCAAATATGATTCAAACCAACTTAGTCCTTTACCCCTAAATCCATAAATCTCCAGTTTACGCAGCAATATCCTGTGACTCACACAATCGAAAGCTTTTGTCAAGTCACAAAACACTGCCGCTGCAACCTGTTGATCGTTCATCCTCATGTAAAGATCCTCCAGAAAACTGAATATAGCATCACTGGTGGATCTTTTCTCTAGGAAGCCAAATTGCACTGTGGTCAAGATATTTTTTTTCTTCAAAAAATTAAGGATTTGCCTTTTAACTATTTTTTCCACAACCTTAGATAAAGTTGGCAGCAATGCCACTGGTCTGTAGTTTGAGGGGCTTTCCTCATTTCCACCCTTGTATAATGGGACAATATTAGCGATCTTCAAACAGTGGGGAAAAATACCTGTAATAAAAGAGAGGTTCATAGCTTCTGCTAGAATCCTAAGTGCATTCTCAGGAAGTTTGTTAAATATTTTAGAGGAAATGCCGTCCCACCCAGGCGCCTTGCTACCCTTCAGCTCCAAAATTGTTTCCTTAATTTCGTGTTCATTGGTGGGTACAAAAAAGAATGTTTCAGTTATATTTACATGATTTAAAAAGTCTTCAAAATTTAAATTACTTTTTATTAAGCTTGATAAATGGTTGGCTATATTGCAATAAAACTTATTTAAATCAGTAGCGTTTAATTTGGAATCCAAACATTCCTTAAGACACTTATTATCTCCTCGAAGTTCATTTACAATTTGCCAAGCTGTCTTCTGCTTATTACAGGAAGACGCAATTCTCTTTACATAATAAGATTGCTTAGCTGCCTTTATAGTTCTACGATATATTGATCTATACTTATTGAAATAATTTACAAAAAATTCATTACACATATTGAATTTTCTTATATAGTGGAGACATCTTAAATTTTTTGCTGAAACTCTTATTCCTTTAGTAATCCAACTTTTTTTTGTTTTTTGTTTTAAACGTTTTAAAGGAAAACTTGCATTAAAAATTTTAGCCAAAACAGAGTGGAAACCTGACAATGGATCTGCAGAGCTCAACACATCACCCCAGTTTTCCAAAGAAGCAAGTTGCGTGAACCTATCATAATTTTTTCTTGTGAACAATCTACCCCCACCTTTTTGCTTTCCTTCTCTCTTTTTTATTTATTGCAAAACTACACCATACCGTCTCGTGATCAGAGAGTGCGCTATTTGTCACATTACATTTAACATCTCCTTGGTCAAAATTTGAAATTACATGATCTATTAATGTGAAAGAATGGGATGTTATACGTGTAGGTTTGTCAACATGCAGATGTAAACCGTAAGAATTAATTAGGTTGTGTAAGAAAATGGTGCTAATATCCCCCATAGACAAGGAATCCAAATTAAAGTCACCACAAACAATTATTTTTGATTTAGAAGGGAGAATGGAAATTACAGATTCGAGCCTTGCCAAAAAATCAGACACATTGCTGGATGGTGCATGATAAATACACAAAACATAAAGATCCTCTCCAGAGATGTGAATCTATACAACATCAGGTTCTTATTTTGGGTGATAGCTCAGTTGCAGACCTCTACAAGCACTTAAAGGTATTTCAACACCAGAACTACAATATCCTCACTTTTGCTAAGCATAATGCAAAATTAGAAGATACTATACAAAACATAAGTGCGCTGTCAATTGATTATTCAAAAAAGGATTTCATCATAATTTCTGGAGGTCTACAAAACGCAGTCAATGGCGGGTACGTGCATGAGAGTGTTTTTGAACTTTTGTTAGAACTAGGACAACGTACTAATGTGATCATTTTATCAGTGCCACTTTGGGGTAATAGGTCAGTGCTAAACAAGTTTATTGACAATGTTAACATTTCACTACATGAAAGGCTTCAAAAATGTTGCACCTTTATAAACATTAACTCTTTTTTAAATTCAACTTTCTTCTTTTTTAATAAAGCCTTAGTGCTGAAGAATGTTGCTAAATTTAGGATAGCTCAGCGCATTGATATCGTTGTTTCTAGCAAAGTTACCGCTAATGCTGGTAATGATGATGTTAGGGTCAGTACTGCTAATTCGACTTCTTTTTTACTGTAAATAATGTCATCGACTCAAAAATTATACTGAATAAGATTGACGAGTATTTTTCAGTTATGTTGATGAATGTACAGTCAATTAGAAATAAGATAGATGAATTATACATGTTTTTAGATAGTATAAGTTTCCCAGATATGCTGCTCTTAACTGAACATTGGCTTGTGACTGATGAGCCAGTATCCATACCTGACTATAGTATGCTATCAAAATACTCAAGATCCAGCTCTATTCATGGGGGTACCCTGATAATGGTTCGCAGTTCATTGTTGAGTGTTTGTTCTTTTGCTGATTTTAAAAATTTTAACCATATGATTGTTGAGAGGGAGTTTGAATTTTCTATAATTAATGTGCCCAAATTAAATGTTTTTGTTATTTGTTTGTACAGGCCGCCCAGTGGGGATGTCACTATTTTCATTACTAGGTTGGAATTGCTTCTTTCAGGTTTTCCTTTACATGCGTGGATTATTCTGGCTGGTGATTTTAATATAGATTTCACAGATAAAACACAAAATCGTTCGCAATCAGTATCAAATTTGTTTGACTCTTTTGGCTTAACTATGCATGTGGAGGAGCCTACTCGAGTTACTCGATTTTCCTCAACTGTAATTGACTATGTATGTTCAAATAGAATAAGTGAATTTGTCTTCTGTTCTGTACTGAACGCGGGCCTATCGGACCATGAAGCAGTATTATGTAACTTTAAGATTTCGAAAGCGAACACTAAACCAATGAGGAAGCGAGGTAGGCTCTACACAAGACAGAATTATGGTAAGTTTTCGCAACTGTGTTCTGACAGCGACTGGGGTGGTGTCTTGTTTTCGCCTGATCCTCTGGCAAAGTTTCACTCCTTATTGTCTTGTAACTTTAACATTGCTTTTCCTCTTAAAACCTTGAAGAAGAACAACAGAGAGCCATGGTTCACTAAAGGACTTAGAGTATCTGCCCGAAATATGCGTTCCTTGCATATGCTTCGAAAACATTTTCTTGATAATACATTTTTCATGTCATATTTTACTGAATATCGTCAAGTATATAGAAAATTAATTAAATTTGCCAAACAAAAGTACTATTCTAATCGAATAGCACACTCTAATAATAGGCAAAAAGAAAGTTGGGACATTGTTAAAGAGTTGATTGGCAAAAAGGGTACATCTACTAACTCAGGTCTTACTCCTGAACAATTAAATTTATTTTATTGCTCAGTAGCAGATAATCTATCTTCCAGTATCAGTCCGGCAGTTGATGCTCTTAGTTTTCTTGGGGATT